GAATTCTGGGAGTTGAAGTTCACTCATCTTAAAGTTGCCAAAGTTGAAAAACTCTGGCCTATACCTTTGTGGATCGCTCCCCACTCCTCTTTCCATCTTCCCTGTCTGGAATACCTCCGTTGAAAAAGCTGGATCATTTGAGAACTAAGCAGCTGCGGGTCTTTGAAGCACAGGCCTTCCAGCTGCCATCGGATGTTTTGTAGAGGTGCAGCATCTTCATCACTCCACCGTCTTGGCTCTTGAGCCGAGAGAGAGTCCCGTAGGCCCAAGGTTCCTTAGCAAGCTCCCCTGGTTGAGGTCTCCTTGCAGCCGAAGTGCCCCTGCTGTGCCTTTGACTGCTTTTTGGTGTGAAGGAGAAGTGACAAACTCTTTATAGGTAAGCCTCCAGGTAAACATCCGATTTCTTTTAAATATTTTGGGTCGTTACACCAACAACTACGGGCAGCATGGCTAGCAATGAAAGTTGATGAGAATTACACTTGCAAACATCTGGAAGAAATTCAGTTTGGAGCAGAGTAGAATTTTTTAAAAGATGGTTAGAAGTTCCACAAATGGGACACAACAGGCCCTAAGTTGTACTACTATCCCACTGGAGCTTAGGAACTTGTCTCTCTACTTGAAGAGACTGTGTTTTATTTGTTTATTTATTTATTATTTTTACAAATAACTCAAGGCATTGAACATATCCACACACCTTCCTCTTCCTGTTTTTCCCACCACAACAATACTGTGAGTTGGCTGAGAGGGAGTGACTAGCCCAAGATCTGGCTCTCATGGCTTAGCCTTAACCACTAGCCCAGACTGACTTTTGTATTATGTTTATTTATTTTTATTCTCCATGAATTTGTTTGCCTCCAGGTTGGTTCTGTCATGGTTTTTATAATGCTTGAAATAGCCCATGAATATTTGGTCCTCTGAATCCCATCCCATGCTCTAGTTCAGGGGTATCAAACTCAAGGCCCACAGGCCAAATTTGGCCTGCGGGGTGCTTAGATCTGGCCCACAGGGCCGCCACCCTGGAAGCAGCGAGGACCAGCCCGCAGTGCATCTGCCAGAGAAAAACGGAGCTTGGGAGGGTTCCCGAGCTCCGTTTTCGGCTGTGACAGCTTCCTGCAACCCTCTGTCAGCAAAAATGGACCTCAGGTGCCCCCAACACAAGTGACATCAAGCTGGCCATGCCTACCCTAGCCACACCCCCCCCCCCCCCCCCAAGATCAAACACAACCCTATTGCAGCCCTCAATGAAATTGAGTTTGACATCCCTGTTCTAGATTATCCCATTTATCACTTTGCTTAGCCTCTCTACAGTCCCTATATTATTTGAGAGTTTTCTGTTGCTGCACAGACTAAGGTCCTCCAGGTTTCTGATTTTAAAACCATTGTGGACTGTCAGCCCTGCTAATACACCAGCAGGGCAGCATTTCTCATTCCAAACCGCATCTCTGTTTTTGCTGCAAGGCTATAGGAAAAGCAAAGGAAATTGCTCCCTCCCCCTGAAAAGCTTTGTTTTGAAAGAGATGACCAACGTGGGCTTGTAAATGGGCAGTCGGGCCTCGTAAATTTGGCTCAATGCTCTGTGTTTGGAATTGGATCAATAGGCCAACAGACAAACTAGAGAAAGGTTATTGATCTGTATTTTCACAAAAGCTCTCCCTTCTGGCCCACAAATCAATCAGCAGAAGCCTTGTGAAGAGCCGTGTCATAGGATTCTCGGCAAAAGAGACAAGATGTGGACTGAAAGGTTCTTTTTATCTGGATGAAACAGGACAACTCAGTTAGAAATGAAGTGCTTAGGGTAGGGTGTCTCAACCTTGGAAACTTCAAATGTGTGGACCTCAACTCCCAAGATTCCCCAGCCAGCAAATCCATTTTTGTTATCACGAAGCAAGGCATTTATCTTAGGGCTCTAACAGCCAACGTTTCCAGATTACAGATTCTGAACCCTCCTTGTCTCTAAATTTAAATACCTATATTTGCCAAAAACTTAGAAAAGGGAGCATTGAAAATATTGCTAAAACCTTGACAGTTTGAAGATGGATGAACTTTAACTCCTAGAATTTACTGCCTAGCAAGCTGACTGCTGGAGAATTCTGGCATCAGAAAATTGCCAAGGTTAAGAAACAGTGATTAGGATATTAAAAAAATATAAAACCTAGGACATTTGAAAAAATACCATGTATGGTGCTCTTTGAGCTTGGTTATTTTCTTGTAGACGCTTCACTACCAAACTAGGTAACATCATCAGTGCACCGCAAGTTAATGTTTTCAAGTGGATATAGAATTCAAGGTGATGTTAATGATGGCTGCAGCATCCATTCTTTAGTTGAGTATAATAGCGGGCTGCACATCTTCCCAAAATGACCTGATGCGAGTTGTATGGAATATAAACACCGCGCACTGGTTGTGAACAGAATCAGAAAGAATGAAAGCCCCACTTTCAGGGGTGGGTTTCTACCAGTTCTGTCCACCTCTGTAGAACCGGTAGCTCTGAACATCAGCAGACATAGAACCGGTTCTATGTCTGCTGATGATTTTGCCCACCCATCGACCCACCTGGGCTCTTGCCTGATCTTTATTTCCTGATTTTTCAACTTCAACTGCCGAACAAGGCACAGTTGCAGTTAAGAAAACAAGAAAAAAGGGCTGTTTCAAAGGCTGCTTCTTGGCAGCAGTGTGCTAATGACGATTAACAGGCATCCCGGACCGGTAGTTAACCCTGTCTATCCCACCCCTGCCCACTTTCCGGATATTTCACACTTGGAATCCTGCATCCAGTTTTGGTCACCAAGATGTAAAAAAAGATGTTAAGACTCTAGAAAGAATGCAGAGAAGGGCAACAAGGATGATTAGGGGATGAAGGCTAAAACATACAAAGAATGGTTGCTGGAATTGGGTATATCTACTTCAGTCTGATGAAAAGAAGGACAAGGGGTGACATGATAGTTCCAGTATCTCAGGGGCTGCCCCAAAGAAGAGGGAGTCAAGTTATTCTCCAAAGCTCCAAAAGGCAGGACAAGAAACAACGGATGGAAACTAATCAAGGAGAGAAGCAACCTAAAACTAAGGAGGAATTTCCTGACAGAACAATAAATCAGTGGAACAACTTGCCTCCAGAAGTTGTAAATCCAACATTGGAAGTTTTTAAGAAGAGTTTGGACAACCATTTGACTGAAATAGTATAGGTTTCCTACCTGAGCTGAGGGTTGGACTAGAAGACCTCCAAGGTCCCTTTCAACTCTGTTATTCTACTCTACTCTACTCTGTTCTGTTTTGTTCTGATTTCTATTCTATTCTATTCCTGTATTCCAGTTCCTGTTTTTCTAACTGGCTCTTTTATGTCGTCCAGAAATACCTCTTCTGCCTGGGGGTGAGGAGGATGTTTGTGCATGCACACCTTTTATAAAAAGCCGGTATTTATTCAGAGGACAAACCTGAATTGGCAGGAGGAAATTTTTGAAAGGGATGGTTTGACCACAATTGCTTTGACATTTCGCTGCACCAAGATTTTTATGAGTAAAGGGCTAGTTGGAAAATTCAGTCCACCGCATCAGTGTTACATAAAAAAAAAGGAAGGGTGGGGGTTGCACAAGCTTGTTCCCATTATCGTTCCCTTTCCATCCATGCTCACTGACGTAAACTGCTCTGGGGTCTAATTATTATATCTCCCCCTCCCCCTTTACGTGAATGGATTTGTGATTTCCTCAAAATGCTAAAACCACAGAGAAAATAATGTGGGGGCAACAAACAGTTGCTCTTACTCTCGTATATCACTGTTAGAAATGTTTAGCGTCTATGTGACTATTTCTGGTAGGTCTTAATAAGCTGTTTCTGATTAGGACCAAGTGATACATTTGATGTAATTTGACTATTGATATGGGAAGATTTTTTTTTTTTAATTGAAATACTGGAGACCACCAGCCAGCTGCACCAAAGACATTCCAGATGTTGTCCCCAAGCATGCAGAAGCTCTCTACAAGAGATAGAGGTAGAGGAAAATGTTCGTTTTGGGGGTAACAATGCCAATTATTATTATTATTTCCTTCTGGAGAAGGAGGTGGCAGGTTGGGGAATGTGGCAGGTAGGGTAGCTTGGGAATTCTGGACGTGGAAGTCCACAGGTCTTAAAGTTACAGGGTTATTTCCATCCATGCCTTGCAAGTGTCTCTGCTAAGGATTGTGCAATAAAGAGTACTAAAAATGTGCTTTTATACCCACTGCTTCCGTTGCACTTTCTTGTCTTAGCATTCGCATATCTGCCAATGAACAATATGAGACCTTCTTGGGGTTTTGTTTTTTTCTTCCAGCAGAATGGCGAAGCTTCCTTATTCGAAGTGAACATCCGCTATGTTGGAGGACTTCTGTCTGCGTATTACCTGACAGGCGAAGAGGTTGGTACCATTTGCACGTCTGATTTGCAATATGGATTTCCTCTTGGAGAATCTCAGAAAACCACACCTGCTCCCTTGCCTAAGCCAGCCTAAATGGCACCTCTTGATAAATACCAGAGCACCGATGATAGCTGTTGATTAAGTTGGGCATAATTACTTGGCCTGGCTCATCCAGTAGGAGTTTCCTCCTGTGGACAATTTCTTCTGGACAGTTCACTGGGTTGGTACATTGGCCACTGCAGAAATGCCGCTGGTCACGACTTTGTTTTTGCATTCTGAATTTATTAATGGCTTGAGGCTACCCTCACCTCACAAGGGTCACATTAATCACTGCTGTGAACTATCTTTTTTTTTTTTAAGTGACAACCATTTTTAACTCTACCACCAAAGCCCAAAAGTCTTCCTTGGCATTAAAGCCATGTGTGATGAGCTCCTAAATTTCATGGACTCATTCCAAGACATTCTTCATTATCTCAACAAGGGAGAATGCACCAGTGAAGGCATTAATTGCCATAACCTTCAGGTATTAATTCTTGGAACTGAACTACCTAGGCAAGTATTTCCATGAAACAGCTACAAGCAGGAATCCCTTTGCTGAGAACTTTTATGAAATTTAGGATAGGCAGTAGACTTAAAAAGAGATTGATATACTTTTGTACTTTGGCGGTCAATCTGCTTCTGGGTGCAGTTCAAGGTATGGCTATTGCCTTTAAAGCCCTTTATAGATCCTCGGTGGTACAGTGGTTAGAGTGCTGTACTGCAGCCTACTTCTGCTGACTGCCGTCTGTCTGCAATTTGGCAGTTCGAATCTCACCAGGCTCAAGGTTGACTCAGCCTTCAAATCCTTCCAAGGTGGGTAAAATGAGGACCCAAATTGTTGGGGGAAATAGGCTGACTCTGTAAACTGCTTAGAGAGGGCTGTTAAAACACTGTGAAGTAGTATATAAGTGTAAAGTGCTATTGCTATAGCATTGGTCCAAAATATCTACAGAACCACCTTCCCGCTGTAGCAATGGTCCCCAACCTTTTGGGCACCAAGGACCGGTTCCTTGGAAAAAAGGTTTTTCCATGGATCGGAATGGGACGTGGTTTCATGCGCTGCCTGCATCCCATGGATGGGGCTTCACTTGTTTGCACCGCATGGTTTCTGGCATGCCGTGGCCCAGTGCTGGTTCATGGACTGGGGGTTGGAGACCCTTGCCCTATAGGATTGGCCCACCGTATTTGTGCTAGAAAAAGGTACCTACTGCAGCGCAGATCCCATCAGCCAAGTAATTTTGGCTGGTGGGGATCCATGAAATGGCTTTCTGCTACGGTCCCCACCTTCAGAGCTAAGATCCCCCCCACCCCATCTCTTTTAGCCTTCAGGAAAAGCCTTTAAACCAGGCTATGGGGTTCTGAAGGAGGAAGCCCCCCAGGCCCATCCTTCAAAGAATATTCTTCTCCTTAGAGTAAATGGTCTCAAAGGTGACCTTGCTTCCCAGGCCGGTGACTTGCACCACCATAATGAACTCTGCCGCATGATATCATACCGCAGCAGTACCGTTCCTGCTTGTTTTTCCATTGTTCCGTGATACACACTGAGACTGATTGCACTATATATTTTTGATGGCATAGAAAGGTTGCACAAAAAAAAAATTTCTAGGACAGAAACTGGAGCAAAGCAGTAGTTTGGCCCCCTGCTGTGGCTTTGCATATAGAAGAAGGGAGCTGCGTGGTTCCAATGAGAGACTGTAAGACTCTTGCTGTGCAAAAGTGTTATATGGTCACCTTTTTGTCTTTTGAAAGGAATAGCAAAGCACAGCAAGATGTGACTTCTTTTTTTTTTCTTTCCAAAACTGGTTTTATTTTTATTTTATTTTTTTTTACTTAATTAAAACAAGTTAGCTTTGCCACTGCGGCCTTGGCAATGGTGCTTTCCTCATTTAGACAAAAGCTTTGGATCCTGCAAAATGTCTCTGTAAATCATTTAGCGTTCTTCTCCTTATAACAAGTAAACTCTTGATTAATATATCTGCAGAACTATGCGGTTGGTTCTCGCTTTTCAGCAAGTTCAGTTCCTGTGATGACTGGAGCAAATGAGGAGTAGGGAGCAGGTGTCCCCGTTTGCAAGTTTTCCTAAAAAGGCTTGAGAAACTGACTAGAACAGGGAATTGTTCAAAAGCTTTACAAGTAGTCCTTGACTTGAGATCATATTTGAGCCTTGAATTGTGGTCGTAATTCAACTGGTGGTTGTTATGACAGCCCACCAGTCACAGAGAAAGAAGGGGTGTGTGAAAAGGTGATGGAGATACCTAGTTCTCTCCTTTCACTCAGAACTGTTTTCAATCCTGGTCAGTGTCTTACTTTGTGATGGCGTTAAAAAAACCCATTGATTTTGATGGCCTTTAGTGGAGCTTAGAGGTGGAGAAGAACTTTTTTGAGAGCTGAATGCATTCAGAAAGAGGCATCATTGTTGGGGTTCGCTTGTATTTTTTCCTTAAGTTCAAAAGGCTGAATTTTTCTTACCTGAATTCATTTCCAGTCTGGGTTTTTATCTATAATATGGATGTTTGTTTAATTGCTGAATTGGCTCATACAATTGCTTGAATAGTTCATAATAGTTTTCAAGGACCTATTGAATACAGGCCCTTGAAAAAAACAAAATGAAAGAAGATTCATTTCCTTGCTCATTACGCTTTTAGTTTCAGTTTGTAAGGGGAAATAATCTTGAAATGGTAAAATAGATAGAAATCTAATTAATTGTTTTAACAGTAGAGGGACAGCAAACTGCGCTGAGAAAATCAAAATATTGAAGATCATTTAAAACAGGCCAGGCATCAAGGCTTCTAATGCCTATTAAAGATCAAACCCACTTACATACTCTACTACTCCATGGTGGGGCAATCCAGAAGCCACCATCCAAAGCCATTACTACCCCTTCAAACTTAAAGGGATGGCAGAGAAAAATAAGATTTGTGTGGTTTCCACAGTGGAAGCCCCGAGATGGTTTCTCATCTATTTTTTGTCTCATCTTTTAATATTATTACTATCTTTTATTCATTAAACATGAAACTCAGTCAACTGAACATTTAAAAATGTATCACAACTATCATTGACTGGGTCTGAGGGTTGATACGGGTTGCTGCCAGCATCCTAGGTATCAACAAGTATTACTACTATTGTCAACTCATAAAACATTGAAGTTGCCCGAATTGTTAGGGAAAATACAGCTGGTATTCCATAGTAGCCTATTAAAACCCACGACAGACCTCCTAAAGACAGGGAGTCCAGGAACGAAACCCCGCCCGGGACAACCCCTAACCTGCCAAAAAGCATTTGAAACACTGAGAGAAGTATTTGCAAAAGAACGAATACTGAAGCATCCTAACCCCGAACAACCCTTCGTCATTCAAGCAGACACCAGTGAGGTGGCAGTGGGAGCAGTGTTACTCCAAAGAAACAACCAAGTGCCAGCCACTTTGAAACCATTCAACCATTCAATTTTGGGAGTGTGGCTTGAGGCTCATGATTTAATTGGAGTAACTGCCAGAATCCTGACTACTACTACTACTACTACTACTACTACTACTACTACTGTCTCTTTTATTCATTAAACATGAAACTTAGTCAGCTGAACATTTAAAATGTGGTTATTGTTATTATTTATTATTATTATTATTACCACCTGTACTCTAGTTGTAAATAGGAGCTAAATTACATTCACACTGAGAAAAGATGCTCACAGCTATTGCATCCAAATATTGCCCATTCAGTCTGGGCAGAAGAACAGTAGTCTACGAGAATGGTTCTCCAAACCCATTTCTCTTGAAATAGCACTAGCCCTAGTACTTAGCAATAGCATTTAGAGTTATACACAGCTCCATAATGCTTCACATCCCTGCTTGTGTCTTGCTCCCAACAATCTGGGTCCTCATTTTATTGATCTCAGAAAGATGGAAGGCTGAGTCAACCTTGAGGCCTGTCATGTTTGAACTTCAGGCTGTGGGCAGAGTTTGCCTGTAATGCTGCATTCTAGCCCCTGTGCCACCAGGGCTCTTGATGTACCTGGAAATGCCTCCAAGTGGCTGAACATATGGAGATTTATTAAGTTTAGAAATCCAGCTCCCATTAATTATCTGCTTCTTGACTCTCTCCTCTTTTTCTTCCAACAGGTCTTCAAGAGCAAAGCTCTAGAACTTGGAGAGAAACTTCTCCCCGCCTTTAACACACCAACAGGAATCCCACGAGGAGTCATCAACCTTGGCAGGCAAGGAACAGTAATGTGTTTTTGCTAACAAATAGAGAATAAGAGGAGAAACCTACCTGGATTGAAGTAAGCAATACAGATAGTCCTCAGCTTACGACCCTAATTGAGCTCAACATTTCTGTTGCTAAGTGAGACAGTTGTTATAAGTGAATTTTGCCCGACCTTTCTTGCCACAGTGGTTAAGTGGATTCCTGCAGCGGTTAAGATGGTTGTTAAGCGAATCTGGCTTCCCCATTGGCCTTGCTTGTCAAAAGGTCGCAAAAGTTGATCTCATGATCCTGCAGCCGTCATAAGTATGAGTCAGTTGCCAAGGGTCTCAATTTTGATTGCATGACCATGGGGTGCTGGGATGGTCATAAGTATGAAAAACAGTCATAAGTTACTTCGAATTGTCACAAGCAAACTATTGTAAAAAGATTTCTAAGTTTTTATTTTATTTTGACAACAAACATTGACAAATACAAACATAAAACATCAAATAAAACCATCTTTCCATTGCACAGTGTGTCACTTGGTACATATCTTTTGTGCACAATATTAACAGTCTTTCCCTTCAAAATACATTATTAAAGTTCGTATTATATACATATAAACCAACTAAACATACTATAACTTCTTATTAGACTTTGTTTAAACATAGCATCCTTTTCAAGCAAATCTCAACTTTACAAAACCTAATTCATAGTATCATTCGTTTCACTGTAATCAATTATAGCATATTATTACATTGTCATATCATTACTATAATATTATGACATATTATATTTTATTTTCCTGTTTTCTTATCTAGCCATTGGTAAAATAAATCCCAAATTTTATACTATTCTTTATCTTCTTGCTCTCTAATTGCTAATGTCAATTTATTCATTTCTGCACATTCTATTATTTTCTACCAAACTGTTGTAAATTGAGGACTATCTGTAATGTTTTCAATGGGAGCCAAGCCAATGCTGTCAGAAAGCAGATGTGGATAGCTTTCAGTTTCTCCCAGACTTCCCCCAACTTGGCACTTTCTATCTGTGGGGAGGCTGAGATTTCTGGGTGTTTTAGGCTCCCAGTGATTTATTAACCCAGCTGAATTTGGAGAATTTTCCAGTAACTCTTGCAGTGGGGCTTTCATTGACTTAAATCAGAGGTCTCCAAACTTGGCACCTTTAAGACTTGTAGACTTCAACTCCCAGAATTCTGGGAGTTGAAGTCTACAAGTCTTAAAGGTGCCTATTTTGGGGACCCCTGCCTTTAATCAGCATTTCTCAATCTTGGTGTCTTTTAAGATAGGTGGACCAGAATAACCCAGCCATCTGGGGAATTCTGGGACTTGAAGTCCACCTCTCTCAAAATCACCACGATGGAGAAATATTGATCTGAGGCAATGCTGGGTGGGGAATTCTGGGAGTTGAAGTCCACATATATGCCTCCAAGGTTGAGAAACTGTACCTTGGATCGTGAAGTTGAACTTCTCCCCAAACAAAGCTCTTTTCTGTTCACAGGGCAGAGTTTCCTCCCAATCTAACCGTGTTCCCAGGTGTTACAGAAACCAGAATGACTCAGGCCAACCTTCCCCTGGTTACTTGAACTGACACTTTTCAGATCTAGCTCCCGGTCATTCTAAATTGACTACAGCTATTCTGGCTGATAACTGGAACTTGAAACCAATATAGCAGAAACTGCCAGGCTGGAGAAAGATTGGCCTGAACTGAAACCAAAGTTGGCGTAGTTGACTAATTTCTGAATTTCGCTTGGAGGTGAATTGAAAAACATTTTCTGCTTCAACGTGCTTGTTCTTTGGAGTCATAACCCCTCTCCGCACCCTTGTTTTTGTAATCACAAAGTTCCCAGCTGTTCTCTTGGTTTCAGCTTACTCATGGCATCTCTGGGTTGTGAGGGTGATAGGAATTTGAAAGATCCTTGCCTGAGATTTTGGGGTGCCCTCAGCTGAGAGAAAGAGGTGAATTAAAATGAACTGGTGGTTGAGCCTTGCCCTCCTTTCGTCTCGCCGCGTTTCTGTAACCTCTCTGCTCTGACTTTACAATTTTTACAATGTTGGGTTTAGTTCAGTGTGTTCCTATAAAGAAGACCTAACGTTTGCTCTTTGAGTTGTCAGCCCAAATCCTAGAGTAATTAATCTTTGCCTTGAATGTCATTCTTGGTGAGCATCCTTAGGGCAGTTTGAATATCACTCCAGACCAGTTGTTCTCGGCCTCAGCAACTAGCTAGGGAACCCTGGGAACTGAAGATAAGATTCGTTGCTTTAGATCAGAGCTCCCCAACCTCTGGTCCATGGACCAGTCCCAGTCCATGGCTTGCCAGAAACTGGTCAGTCAAGCAAGCAAAGCCCCAACAAATGCACATGTGGAACCATGAAACCACGCCCCCACCCAGTCCACGAAATACTGCTCTCCACGGAACCAGTCCATGGCACCCAAAAGGTTGGGGGCCACTGCTCTAGGCTTCCCAAGTTGTTCAATAATTTGGCCGAACATAGTTTTCCCGCCCATCTTTCCCTCCCTCCCTCCCATCTCTCCTTCTCATCTCTTTCCCTCTCCTCTCTCCTTCCCATCTCTTTCCTTCCCTCCCTCCATCTCTCCCTCCCATCTCTTCCCTTCCCTCCCTCCCATCTCTCCTTCCCATCTCTTTCCTCCCCTTCTTCCCTTCCCTCCCTCTCTGTCTCATCTCTCCTTCCCTCTTCCTCCCTCCCATTTCTTTCCTTTCCTTCCCTCCCTCTCATCTCTCTCTTCCATCTCTTTCCCTCCCTCCCTCCCTTCCTCCCTCCCTCCCTCCCCTCCCTTGAGACAAGGAGCTGCAGGTTGCTCACCACGTGCCTTGATTAGAAAGTGCAGAAGCTGTGCGAATGCTAAGGGATCATGCAGAAGATCCTAATCCAGAGGGACGAAAGGGGGGACATTCAGCAAAATGTGGGGATTTGGGTGACCCAAAGTCTGGCTGGGAAGGGAATCTGCACAGGTTGTCCAACTGTTAACCTGATAGATATAAACAGGCCAAGAAGAATCTCTTTTTCTCCCTTTTTCAGTTTTCTATAATTTAGAAGAATAACTTGGACCTCTTCCTGGAGGCAAACCAAACGAGATTTATGACACAAGAAATTTCTTATGATTTGAGCCTATTAATCTTGTTTTGCTGAGTAGTACTGAAAATGTATTGCTAAGCAACCACCATTTTAAGTAACTAAAATGACATAAATTTTTAAGAAACGGTTCCAAGGTGTTGAGGTTAGAATTTGTATGTATAACTTCTAAGTTCATTTTTTTTGAGGGTGGAGAATTAATTCTCCGGAAAGCCAAGTCAAGGACTTGCATTTGCCTTCCTGCTTAAAAGTTGAGGTTAGAACCCTGAGGGGAGGGAAGAAAGGCCAATCAGTTTGAGAACACCAGAAGGAAGAAAAGCAGTTTTAAATTTAGCCCTCAATCCTCATTCATTTGAAAATGAACAGCCTGGTTTGCTATGAGAATAACCTATATTAAAGTTAACTTGCGAGAAACACTTATTGGTATCACCACTGTAGGTGGTGAACCTACCCAATGAATGTGACGATCAGAGTATCCAGGTAAGGAAGAAACATCACTGGAAATAAAAGGTAGATTGTCAGCATCCCCTAGGACAAGGGTCTCCAAATTTGGCAGCTTTAGGACTTGTGGACTTCAACTCCCAGAATTCCCCACCAGTTGAAGTCCACAGATCTTCAAGTTGCCAAGTTTGGAGACCTTTGCCTTAGGATAATGGGATATTATAATGGGAGAAAGCCATAGGATATATATGGTTTTTAGGTTACCCAGTGGAGCTTGGTGTAGTGAGGAAGGGATTGGTCTAGGAGCAAGGAGACCCAGTTTCTAGTTTCCCTTCAGCCATGGAAGCAATCAAGATCAGGGGTCTCCAAAGCAAAGCTGGTTGAGGAATTCTGGGAGTTGAAGTCCACAAGTCTTAAAGTTGCCAAGATTGGAGACTCCTGACCTAGATGACTTTGGACCTACCACTCTTTCTCAGTGTGATGTAATCAGGGGTGGGCTTCAAAATGTTTTAGCAACGGGTCCTCTGCCCGGTTGCTGGGTGGGCGTGGCCTTATCGGCCTCCTGCGTCACAGCGGGGAGGGGCATTTTCGAGCCTCCGGGAAGGTGAAAACAGCCTCTCTGAGCTCCAGAGGCTCTCTGGAAGCTGGAAATGGGCCTGGTTTTGGCCTTCCCGAACTTCTGGGAAGCCCATTTTTCACCCTCCCCGGGCCTATACACGCTCCCTGCACTTACCTGCATCCAAAATGGGCCGTTTGGGTACTCCGGGGAGAGGAGGTGCGGGGTGGGCGGGGCCAGCTGTGTAGAATCAATTCAACTGTGTTGAATCTTAGCTAGGGGTTCTCCCGAACCACTCCGAACCCCCATCAGCCCACCCCGGATGTAATAGAGTGGACTGGATCCCTAGAAGGGAGGGGCTTCAATTCCAGAGGAGCAAGAGACAGTTCAGTCCAGATAGTCTGTGTGAGAGAAAGAGGGCGAGGACAGACCCTCCCTAATAGCTCTCATAGTATACGTTTAATGTAGGTAGAAGGCTGCTTTGGTTTGATGAGGTTGATGTCCGGTCTCAAAAAATCAAGAAAGGCACACGCAACGATTCAAACAAGATTTCTTTATTTTTCCTCATCTAGAGGCAGAATCTTGCAAAACACAGGTAGCCCTCAACTTGTGACCACAATTGAGCCCCAAATTTCTGCTGTTAAGTGAGACATTTGTTAAGTGAATTTTTGCCCCGTTTTACGACATTTCTCACCTCGTTTGTTAAGGGAATCGCTGCAGTCGATAAGTTAGTAACCCGATCGTTACGTGAATTTTGCTTCCCTGCCGATTTTGCTTGCCAGAAGGTTGCAAAGGGTGTTGATCATGTGATCTTAGGCCACAGCAACAGTCATAAATACGAACCAGTTGCCAAGCATCTGAATTTGGATCACATGTTCATGAGGATGCTGGAAAGGTCGTAAGTGTGAAAAATGGTCATAAGTTGCCCTTTTAGTGCCGTACCTTTGAACTATCGTTAAACAAACCGTCGTAAGTCGAGGACTATCTGCCCTATATACTTTGAGAACTACCAGTTCACTTTAGCTGCCACAAAAAAAGTTTCTAAAATCAGGCTGATCAAAAGCCCATTTTATTACCGTCATATCTTACAACTGTAATGGGCAGGCTCCATTACAGTCATAACTTGAGGACTACCTGCATAAACATAATTGTCGTTCTCCTGGATCAGTCCAAAGTCCAGCATTTTGTTCCCAGCCTGGTTCTTGGGACAACGTTGACGGTGAAGGCAGCAAGCTATTTGTCCCCCAATAGCTAATCTACAGGTTGCCTCAAAAACAGGGGACTTCTTTTTTTTTTTCTAAAAAGAAGTTTTATGTTTTTATGTTATGCATTTTGTTAGCTTATGTTTGTTTATTGAGGATTAATGATGTTGGATAAGAACATATGAAATAGTAATAATATGAACTATAGTAATATGAAATACATGAAAGTATAAGTTTAATGAATAAAATTGAACAGAAATAAAGGAAGAAACAGCGAGAAGTTGGAAAAGAGTAATAAGATATGAAGTTGAATATATAAGATGCATATTAAATTGTGTGTGGAAACGTGATAATTTAGAACTATGTCGTATTTAAATGAGATGTCTTATTTGTTTTGTTAAGCAGTTTTTAGAAAAGATGTTCTATGTTCTTATGTTTTATGTTTTGTTTGTCTGTGTATTCTCTTTGAAAATTAATAAAATTTGTTACAAAAAAAAAAAAAAAGGGACTCCAACCTTGGCAATTTTAAGCCTGGGGGACTTCAACTCCCAGAATTCCCCAGCCAGCTGAAGTTCCCCAGGCTTAAAGTTGCCAAGGTTGGAGTCCCTTGCGCAAAAGCATCCTCATAGCTGTTGGCAGACCGACTCGATATTATCATTATTTATCTTCTCTCCAAACCACTTGTAATTTAACCCCCTGAAACGGCTAGGTTTAAGGGAGATCTGTAGTGGATTTACCCCTGTGGCGATTGATACGATTCATCTAAAAGTATTAAACCGCACCCAGAAGCCCGTCTTATTTCCCCAAATCCTAGTCAGAGAAAGAATTTGGCTTTTCAACACCTGTAAGTTTTTATTTTATTTTTGTAAAGGTTACAGTGGAACCATCCTCTCTGGAGTCCATTGAGCGCCCTCTGCTGCCTCCGTGTAATTCCTCACTTCGGATAATCATAGCTGTGATAATTGTCTTTGCGGGAAAAGAAACTTTAATAACCGCAATCTGCCTCCCATGCTAATCAAGAGTTATTAGGATCAGGTCTTCCTGTTTTTTGAAGTGGCAGTCATTGAACTTCTCACAAGCCGACAATTACGGAGGCTATTTTCAACCCAATCCTAAAAATATAGGCTGCTCTGCAGAGGTTGAGATGATCTTAATAGACTGTAATCAAGATGGTTGTGTTGGCTGATTGGAGAAGATGAGTAAGGAAGCAAAGTCCGGGAAAGTTCCTACGATTGCTATGCTTTTTCTTAAACTCTGTCAATTTCCTGCAGTTTTACCACTTGGCAAAACCAGGATGTTTTGTTGCATTTCTTGGGGCCTTGGATCTCTAGATGTTTCCTTTTCACCACAAATTGTCCCTGCTGCTTTTTCCATATGCTAAGCCCGCCTCTTGAATGTTTATGTCTTTTAAAAGCATAGTCATGCATGTCAAAATGCACACTGTAGTCAAAGCCGCTCTTCATTTGGCTTACCAGACTTAATATCTTATGGATATTTATATATTTAAATATATCCTACTGCCAACAAATGCAGAGGAACAATGGCAGTGTCCCCCCAAAAAAAGAAGTATGGCAAATGTGACTTTTTATATCTACCTGCTAAGTACTCCGTGTATGTTAGCTCCTGTGCTTGTCTGTTTTCTGTGTAGCCAGACCAAATGCCTTTCCTGCATGTGACACTATCCCAAACACCAAAAAGTATACAATATTATTCTCAGCTAAGTTGCTGGAAATAAGGAGAAGGATGTAAGTGGCATTTGGAGGGATTTGAGCTTTGAATGTTAGGTTCAAGGGGCCTTTCCCAGTACAGATGTCCATGATCAGATTTTTGGCCAATTTAGTGTTTTTCAGGAACGTGGAGAGGAAAGCTGAGGTATATAAAGCTGAGGTATATAACTAATGAGTAAATCACATTAAGATACATAGACTTCAATTCCCAGAATTCCATACATGCTGGCTAGGAAAATCTGGGAAGCTAAATGAAGTCCAAACATCTTAATGTTTCCAATTTTGGGAAACGTTAAACTAAATAGACAATGCTTTTGTCCAGGCTAAGCCCTGCAAAGAATAGGTCACCTGGAGCTAAGTGAAGCTTGGAAACTGCCTGGGATTCTCACTCCTTGTATGCTTAGCTCTTTTTTCTTTTTCTGTTTTCCCCAGTGGCATGAGCTGGAGCTGGGGCTGGGCATCAGCAGGAAGCAGCATTTTAGCTGAATTTGGGAGCCTCCACTTAGAGTTTATGCACCTTTCAGAACTGTCTGGAAATCCCATATATGCTGAAAAAGTAAGTATGCCCTTCCTTCCTTCCTTCCTTCCTTCCTTCCTTCCTTCCTCTTTTCTCATTTTTTTTTCTCTCTTTTATCAATTGGTGTGAAGTGATTCCTCTCCCTCTTTCAACCTGCCACCAGTCTCCCCTCACAAACACGTTCGCCTAGGCACCCAAAGCAGCCTCTAATGAAATTCACTTTCCCTCTACAACAAGGGCCCAGATTTGAGAAATGGGAATCTCACACCTCCACCTTAATCCCAGCCATAATCATTTTGGCAGTTCCAAATCAAGTGTGTCACTGCCGCTTGTGGCTGTGCCAGAGAACCTGTAAGAGGTTAGGGAGCGCTTGCTATTAGCTCAGGAGCTGAAGCTCAGGGTCTCCTTCGGGCCAAGCATTTTGGCTAACTCCATCCTGTTGTACTGAGGTATTATCTGCCTGCCAGTGGCAAAATTGCTGCTATCCAATATAAGACACTGCCGACCAGTGAAGTCTTTAGAACAATGTTCCTCAACCATAGCAACTGGCACGGATGGGTTTCGAACCCCACAGTTCCCCAGTTCTGCTGGTTTGGGAATTCTGGGAGTTGAAATCCAGCCATCTTCAAGTTGCACTGCTTTAGAATATCTCTGATTCCCTCCGGTAGCTTCTTCTGTTTCTTTTCTTGAGTAATTGCACTGTAACGGGACTTTTTCCAAAGAGGGTAGAGGCCTGAGGCCTGCTCCTGCTGTGAACTTTTTAAAGATTCGGAAGAAACCCTTGGAAGAGCGTAGGATGATTATTGCTGAGAGTTGATCGTGGCTGTGGATATACTTTGCACCTGGTGATTACTTCATGCCCTTCCTCAATGGATTCTTGGAATACTTTTGGAGTCACATTTTGCTAGCAATCATATAGGTTTAATCTCCCCCACCCCCTATATAGTCCTATAACTGTCTATGGGAGTGAGAACCTAGCTGCCGTAAGGCACCTACCACCCACTAAGAATATCCCAGAGTCTGAAGGAAACTGAAAGAAACTATTGTGGTGACCAAAACTGGTGTCGAGACTCTGGAAAGAGTGCAGAGAAGAGCAACAATGGTGATTAGAGGGCTGGATCCTAGCACATATGAAGAACGGGTTGCAGGAATTGGGTGTGTCTAGTGAAAAGAAAGACCAGAGGTTGACACGATAGCAGTGTTCCAATATTTGAGGGGCTGCCACAAAGATGAGGGTGTGTGTGTGTCAAACTATTTTCAAAAGTACCCGAAGACAAGACAACAAACAATGGATGAAAACTAATCAAGAGGAGAAGCAATCTAGAACTTCCTAACTGTGGAGTCAATCAACCAGTGGAACAGCTTCTCCCCAGAAGTTGTAGAGGGCTGAGCAACAAATAAGGTACTCTGGAATTGAAACTGTTAAAAAACAATAACGTTGTTCCCTAAGAAGATCTGTAAGCTGCGAAGGAGAGAGAAAGGGGAAAAGATTTGGTTTTCTCCTTTTCCTATACTGACAGCTAAGAGACTTAAGCAAGAAATTGGGGAAAAAAATCCACTTTGACATCAATAGGCATTTAATGCTGAAAATAAAAAGTCAAAGGGATAATAAAGATTTCTGGGTAATTAAAAGCTTTTGAAAACAGGAAAGGAGAGAAAAAGAATAAAAGGGTAGGATCTGGAAGGGAGGAAACTGCCTGGAATTAAAAAAGAACTTACAGCAAAATCTCAACAAGACTTCCAAAAGATACATTCTAACTGAAATATCACAACAAAAACCCCAGGAAGAGAAAGTCGAAAAAGAAATAAGAAGATATAACTCGGGACTATCTGGATTACTTGATGATTTCTGGATTCTTGGTTATTGTTTTGAATGACTAAAATCAATTGGGTGGTTGTTTAAAACTGTTTAAAATGGCTCCACTTTTAGAAGAACTGAAAATGGAACTTAAAAAGTACAAAGAAGATGCACAAGAAGGGAGAGGTTCTTTTGGCTTCGCATTTCAGTTTTTAGAAATGGTGATTTGTAATTATGAGAAACAACAAGAAATGCCTGCAGAACAAGAAGATTGCGACAAAGAAGAAGCCATCTTTAATGAACAAGTAATCTTAGATGGGGGGGAAGGAAAGGGGGGAAAGAGAATGGAAAGTTTAAGATTGGGAAAAACAAATCCAAAAAAAAAATAGAGTGAAAAATAAGTATAAAATCAGAAAGCAACAGAAGAGGGAAATGCAGAAGAGAGAATTAGAACTAGAGAGACAAGGGGGTAAAAAGGGGAGGGAGAAGATGAGAGGGAAGAAAGAAAGGTAAAGAAGTTATAAAGGACAGAAGCAAAATATAGAGAAACAGGGCCTATGTAGAGATAATGGGTGAAAACTTAATGGAAAAAGGGATTCTGCAAAGGTACATAAGATAATATGGTTATATTAGAAGCAGAAATAATTTTAGAAAATATGAAACAATGTATGATTAAAATGTCTGATAAAATAGCTATCGTAATTCAGTGGAATGCTTGTCAATAAATAAATGTAACAAAAGGTATATTTAATGATTTGTAAAACATGTGAAGAGAAATAAGGGAAAAATTAATTATGGAGATTATATGTGTTTTTAAGGAAGTATGATATTTAATTGAAAAGAAGTGTTAAAGATGTTAAGATTTTAATGATTATTAATGATAGAACTGAACTGGAATGGAATGAGGGTTTATAATTACATATATTTACAATCTTTCTTTTTTTAAAAAAGAATATACTGTGTATTATAAGAATGTGCCAAGCAGAATTCGATTGGAAGTTATGTAATATGTATTATATTGAAGGTCATAAACTTAAGGTATATATTGAAGTTTAAATAAGAGTTGAACGGATGTAATTAAAAGATATAAAGGTGTCATACTCCAATTAGTAACTACAGGAGAAAATTTGTTTAATGAGAAAAGATAATATGAAATTGAAACAGAACAGACAAAAGTATAAATATAATGATTTGAATTGAGATGAGATCATCAAAATAAAATAGAGAAAATTAAAAGAGGGGAAAAACTATATAGAAAATGTAAAATAGTATAAGATATGGAATAGAATACAAAAAGGAACATGAAATTGAGTTTTGTGTCTGTATAAAGAAGCTCAACCCGGGTCCATGCTATTTTCAAAAAGGATGTTTTACTTGTATTTTGTGTGTGAAAACCCAAATAAAACTTTATTGGAAAAAAAGAAGTTGTAGAGGGCTTCAACACTAGAGGTCCTTTTAAGAAGAGATTGGACAGCCATTTGTCTCAATGGTATGGGGTCTTCTACTCAAGCAGAGGGTTGGAGTAGAAGACTTCCGAGGTCCTGTACAGCTTTTTTACTCTATTCTTTTCTAAGCCTTCCTGTTAGGATTAGAACTGGCATCCTGTACAGCAAAGAGGTTGTCCCTGAGACCCCAAGACTCCAGCAGTTCTGCGCTTCTGAACTGTTCTTAGATGTGACTGGGGAACAGCTCATAACCCAACTTTAAAAAGGCATCTAAGCTAAGTGGGAAAGGGCTGGCTAGGATGCAAAAGGAAATTTGAGTGGCGGGAAGATAGGCGTGGAGGGAAAATACTACAAAAGCTGGAAACCAAATGGAGAAATGAGATATAAATGAAGCATAGAATGAAAGAAAGGACCGGCACAGAAGATGTGCTGGAGAAGAGAGGAAATATATAGGAGCTTAGATAGAGGGGGAAAGGCAAAGCTGAAGTTGTAAACAAGGAAGAGACGCACCACAGGGATGGAGATTATGAATATGCAACCTTAATCGGAAGCCTTTGTTGAAGTTAGGATTAACGCAAAGTGCCTCATCCTAACATATCCCTTAATGCAGGAGAGAGGAGGATTCTTGTTCAGTGATTTTTCCAAGAGGTCAGTTGAACAGCCTATTCACCTAAGTCCCTCTGTCAATGCAAAAACCGGCTTGTTAATGGCTTCACCCACCCAGAGCATGCTGTCGATTAAAGCTAAAGCTGTATGAGAGCATGCACAAGGGGTGCTGATTGTAAACAGCCATCTGGAGGGAAATGGGCTTGGTGGAAAGCTTATCAGTTCATTAGCTCCCAGCTAGAGATTTGTGGGCTTTTTTTTTTCTCTTAAAAAAACAACAACCCAAAACAAAATAGCTCATTGCTAATCTACATGCGTGTTCAGACTCGCTCTTGAAATGCCGGGGTCTGCAGCGGGAGAGCGCTGCACTCCCTAATGTGCAGTGGGGGCCAGCTTGACAATTGATAAAAGAATGGAGCGCACCAACACTTGATCTTTGTGGGGTTAAATGTCAAGTTTGCAATCCTGAGCCTGAGGCTAGGTTGCCTTCACTCCCGTTAGCCAAACAAAGCCACAAGGTTGAAACAGGATACAGCCCAACCTGTGTGTTCTAAGCAAGGGATTCCAGACCTTAGCACTTAAATCACAGTGGGTGTTAACACAGTACCGTATGACTAAGAAAAGCGAGTCATTACTGAACACATCGAGTTTGCAGCAGGCCTAGATGGATGTCGTAACAAATACACGTTGTAGCTTGATTAGAAACACTGCCTATAAAATGAAGGTTTCTTTGAAACTGATGAGATTGAATGCAAATCAATGGCCTGACTTTATTTTCTTTTAGCACGTGTCCTCTTAGGTGTTATGGTACCCTTGCAGAGCTGGATTGGTTAGTGCAGGGGTGTCAAAGTCGATTTTATTGAGGGCCGCATCAGGGTTATAGTTGACCTCAGGGGATTGGGGTGGGCATGGCCAGGTCAACATCACTTGTGTCGGGGATGCCTGTGGTGGCCTGAGCGCTCTCCAAACTCTGTTTTCAGCTGCGACGGCCTCATGAAACCCTCTGTCAGAGAAAATGGAGGCCCTCCCGAGCTCCATTTTTGCTGGCAGAGGCACTGTGGGTTGATCCTTCACTGTTTCCTGGGGGGTTCCGTGGGCCAGATCTAAACACCCCACGGTCTGGACCTGGCCCCTTGTCCTGGAGTTTGACACCCCTGGTCTAGTGGTTAAGGCACCAAGTTAGAAAGTAGGAGACTGTTCAAGTCCCACCTTGTCATGAAAACCAGCTGAGTGACTGAGCCAGTCACTCCCTCTCAGCCCAACTCACCTCACAGGGTTGTTGTGATGGTGAGGAAAATAGGAGGACGATGTATTGGATATGTTCACCACCTTCAGTTATTTGTAAAAATAAAAAAGGCAGGGTATAAACAAAATAAATGTAATGTATCCTCTAATGGGATCTGAAAACAACCAGCCAGCTTGCATTCCATTGCAGTTTAGCGTGGGAAACTGCTCTGGTGCCATTGCCTTATGTGCCCCTTCTGAGGTCAGGGGTTCCTCAACCACTAGAAGGTCCACATCCAGGGGGGAAATGGCAAAAATGTGTATGTGTTGGATGCGGTTGCTTGGCAACAGTAGACATTTCAGAGTCTGCCTCTTGGCATGGTTTCTTGCAGTTCTCTTTGGCTTGGGAATCCTGTGGTGTTTTTGGCTGATTTGGAAGGGCTGCTTGGAGAAGCAGCTGTTTAGGGATCTGCTGCCACAGATGGCATTTGTGAGGGTGGGCCTATCAGCGATAACAGCTAAACGAAAACTTTGTGTTTCAGGGCGATACCTACCACTGAATAAAGAGGCACTGGATGCAAACCAACAAAAAATGGCCTCTGCCATCGGGTCCCGCTGTGTTGCGAGCAACGCAGTTGGCTAAATTACCATGACTTTGTCCGGCCTCCTTTAAAACTGGCAAAATCAGTGGTCGTCACCGTGTCTGATGGTGTTGAGTTTGTCCTTGACTTTTCATTTCGTGACCGTTCCAAGTTACAATGGCCCTGAAAAAAGTGACTTATGACCATTTCTCACACTTATTACCCCCGTAGCATCCCCATGGTCATGTGAGCAAAATCCAGACGCTTAGCAACTGTTTCGTATTTATGTCGGTCCCGGGGTCATGCAATCCCCTTCTGCAACCTTCTCACAAGCGAAATCAATGGGGAGGCCAGAGTCACAACTTCGGTGTGTTAAGGATGAAATTGACCTATGGGTAGCCATTTTAGTTAGGCTTAGTATATATTCTTTTTCTTACTTTCACTATGGCCGTCGTGGGGGAGAAAGGTTTCGGCCTTGCCACATTCCTAACGGGGGGGTAGCGGAGATAGAGTTGTTGAGGCTAGGTGGTTCTTCTTCCTGTGGGAAAACAAGCTGTCCGTGCTTAGGCCCCTTGAGGTGGAGATTTATGACATCAAGCAACGTTGAATTACTTCCATTGGAGAACGTGACTTTCTAACTTTTAATATTGTAGAGTAATTCTGGGTTGTGTCAGATCCGGAATTTCCACAGACTTTGCCAATTTGATGCTTTCCTAAATAAAAGAAATTGTCTTGGAAGATGGACTTTGTTCTTCTCTTTTTAAATGGCTTTAATCACTTGGAAACTTGACATTATTCCGAATTCACTTAACAGCTTATGGCAAGAAAGGCTGTAAAATGGGGCAAAACTCACTGAACAAATGTCTCATTTAGCAACAGAAATTTTGGGGATCAATTGTAGTCGTAAGTCAAGGACTATTTGTATTGTGTTAGGAAGCCTTTCCTTTTATCAGCCTGAAATCTCTCCATAGTTGACCCCAGAGACATAACCTAATACAGTAGTCCTTGATTTGCAACTATTCATTTAGTGACTGTTCATTCAGTTTCAGCAGCACTGAAAAAAGTGTTTTGTTTATAAATTTATTTATTTACTGGTCCTCCTACTTATGCCCGTCACGGTAACCGCATGGTCACATGATCAAAATTTGGGGGCTTGGCAACCGGCATGTATTTATGGCGGTTGAAATGTTCCAGGGCCAAATGATCGCCATTTGCAACTGTCTCAGCCCGCTTCCAACAAGCAAAATCAGTGGGGGAAGCTGGATTCGTTTAATGACCGTATGATTCATTTAACAACTGCAGTGATTTGCTTAACAACCATGGCAAAACAGATTGTAAAATTAGGTGTGACTCAATCAACAACCTCCAGTTATCATCAGTACAGGTAGTCCTCGAGTTACGACCACAATGGATTTGTGCACATTTATGTTGGTAAGTGAAACATTTTTAAGAGAGTTTGCCCCATTTTATGACTTTTCTTGCCAGAGTGGTTAAGTGGATCATTGCATTTGTTAACTGAGTAACCTGGTTGTTAAGTGAATCTGGCTTCCCCATTGACTTTGCTTGTCAAAAGGTCGCAAAAGGAGATCACGTGTCCTCTGGGACATTGCAACAGTCATAAATACCAGTCAGTTGCCAAGCATCTGGATTTTGAGCAGGTGACCATGGGGATGCTGCGATGGTCGTAAGTGTGAGAAACGGTCATAAGTCACTTTTTCCGTGCTCTTGTAACTTTGAACAGCCACTAAATGAAAAGTTGAGGACTCCCTGTATTTGATGGGTGGCTTCATTATTAATAAAATCAGTTTATTAGTTACTATTATTAATAGCAAAGAGTTCATAATAGCTTTTTCTTTTTTTAAATCTCCTTGTAGGTGATGAACATCCGCAAAGTCCTGAATAGAATTGAGAAACCTCACGGGCTTTATCCGAATTTTCTCAGTCCAGTCACAGGGAACTGGGTCCAGCGTGAGTATTCATACTTCTTTGGCTAAACCAAAGGGATGTTTTATCAATGCACATCAGACTTCTAGTGTGACTCCTGAATAAGGTAAAGATTTGCCACCAAATTCTGTTCTTCGTTAATGCAAACTGAGTCACTCCTCCTGCAAGCTGTCTCAAACCAAGTCCTTTGAACAGGTGTTAGGCAGCCATCCCTGCTGTCTTTTTTGCCAGGTGTCTCTTAATCAGAGGTGGGATTCAGCCAATTCGGGTGAACTGGATGTTTTTCTCTGGTAATATTACACGAATAACTAGAGCATACAAAACACTTGCTAGACCAATACTCGAATACAGCTCATCAGTCTGGAACCCACATTACGTATTTGATATTAACACAGTTGAGAAAGTCCAGAAATATTTCACAAGAAGAGTTCTCCACTCCTCTGCTCGTTGCAGAATACCTTATGCCACCAGACTTGAAATTTTAGACCTAGAAAACCTAGAACTACGCCGCCTTCGGTCCGATCTAAGTATAGTATATAAAATCATACGTTGCAAAGTCCTACCAGTCAATGAATACTTCAGCTTCAACCATAACATCACAAGAGCAAACAATAGATACAAACTCAAGGTAAACTGCACCAAATTTGATTGCAGGAAATACGACTTCAGCAACAGAGTGGTCAATGTCTGGAATACTCTACCTGACTCTAGGGTTTCTTCCCCAAACCCCCAAAATTTAACCTTAGACTGTCTACTATTGACCTCACGCCTTTCTTAAGAGGTCCGTAGGGGGTGTGCATAAGCACACCAACGTACCTACCGTCCCTGTCCTATTGTTTCTTTTATATTTTTTTATTTTTCTTATATGTATCCATGTATTCATAATTATGTTTTTACTTATACCTATTATCTTGTAAGCAATTGACAAATATAAACAAACAAACAAACAAACAAATAAATAAATACATTAAAAAAAATTAAATCTGATTCTCCGAACCAGTAGTTGAACCAACTGGCTGGCCCTGCCCACCCCGCCTCTCCCAGGAGTCTCCATGTGGCCTGTTTTGGATGTAGGTAGGGGCAGGGGCTGTGCGGAGGCTCTGGGAGGGGGGAAAAACGGCCCTACCGGAAGTCCAGAAATGGGCCTGTTTCCAGTTTCCGGAGAGTCTCCGGAGGAGGCTGTTTTTGCCCTCCCAGAGGCCTGAGGGAAGCCTCCGGACTCTGGGGAAGGCAAAAAATGGCCCTCTCGGAAGTTCCAGTAGGCCACGCTCATCTTGGCCAAGCCCACCCAGCAACCAGGCAGAGAACCTATGAGGACAGACTGAAAGAACTTTGGCAGGTTCAGTCTGGTGGAAAGAAGATTTAGGGGAGACAGGACAATTATTATTTATTTGTTAAAATTTATTTTATTGCAAATTCTTTTTAAAAAATACACAAAATGCTACACAGGATCTACAAAAACAAAATACAGAAGCAAACAGTAAACAAATGCAAAGGAAAAACAAAAAGCCATAATGAACCATTTAGGCATGCCGGTTGCATATCAAGAATTAAACAATGTAAGGACATTCGGGGGGGGGGGGAATACTCTTTTCTCACAAACATCATGAATCTGTGCCAAAGAGAGACATATGGCATCATTTTTGATAATTAGTGTGTGGAAGTATTTGCAAAAGTGAATAAATTACACATGCTTTGTATCCAATAGTTAATGTCCAGAATAAGAGTGCTTTTCCAATTGCTCCAAATAGCTTGCTTAGTAATTCCCCCTGCTGGAGATAATCAAATTTGGAGTAGACTGAAGTTTCCCCTCAGACACATGTGCTAGTCATTTCTGGCTGTAGGGGGCAGCGCTCATCTCCTTTACAAAGCCAAAGAGGCTGTCTGAAGACATCTCCGTGGTCATGTGGCTGGCATGACTAAGCGCCGAAGGCGCAACAAAACGCTGTTCCCTTCCCACCAAAGTGGTCCCTATTTTTCTACTTGCATTTTTTTTTTACATGCTTTCGAACTGCTAGGTTGGCAGAAGCTGGGACAAGTAACGGGAGCTCACTCCACTACGTGGCGCTAGGGATTCGAACCGTCGAATGGCCGACCTTTCTGATCAACAAGCTCAGCATCTTAGCCACTGAGCCACCGCATGCACTCAAGCGCATTAAGGAAAAATGGGCAGGGATTACTTTCCTTGGCCATAGGATTTGGCATATCCTGTTTCACTCAGAGCTTTCTGTTAAGCCATCCTAAAATATACTATACAGTGGCACCTCTGTACTCGTCCTTAATTGATTGCAGGAAGCACAATGAGTATCAAACTTTTTTTCCCATAAGGAATAATGTAAGTGAGTCACAAGGCAGCCAACACTGACAAATTCTAGCTTGTCATTGAGAACCAAACAAGCGAAGAGTACCCAGGACAAAATATTCATGTCAAAATGCCTTGAGTACCAAATTTGATGAGTTTCAAAGCAGCTGACTACCAAGGTACCACTGTATTTGCAATATGCAATCCAGTCAGGCTCAACCTTGGTGACTTTAACACAGACTTCCAGAATTCCCCAGCCAGCCTGGCTGGCTGGGGAATTCTGGGAGCTGAAGTCCACACATTTTAAAAGTTGCATTACAGGCTCACACAAATCAATCACAAAGAAACCCGCTAATCTGAAAACATGCTATAAATTAACCTCTGTTTCAGATGGAAATCCCACAGAGTAACAGTAGATGGGGGGGTGGGGTATACATTTGCATCCTAGATTAAATGGTGGCATAGAAAATAAATTTCACTGGAGCTTATTCCTTCTCTTGCCCTTTCATCACTTTGCTTTTGAGGGGTGGGGTAGGTGGGAAGATGACTCACATGCTCTTGGATACCCTGGAGCATTGATGCTGAGATGTAAAAATAAAATCCTCTCCCCCACCCCAGCATGCTATTCCCATTAAAAATCTGTTCAGTTTTTGCCCCAGGCAGATTTCCCCTAACAGGTTCTGGAGCAGGGCAGACTGAAGAGGTAGCCATGGAAAAGCCCTCAGTATTCTGGAGCCATCTTCACACCTGACCCCACGGTGTTTTCTCTTCCTCCCCTCCTTCAACCTGCTCCTTCAAATGTCTCTTAATATTCGTTCCAGGCATCAAATCACAGCTACAAAATGCCAGTGAAACTCTCTATACGCTGCAAGTTCAGTCTCCATAGTGTGGCTGAGATTTTTGGCTTGCAAATTTCTGAACTTGCAATACAGTCGTGTCCCCTCAGTATTTTGTGCTGTTTTGACACTTGACTCTAAGATTCTCTTCCCTTTCTCTTCACAAGGGAGGAAGTGGCTGACAGAGAAAGACAATAACGGATAAGTCTGCATATTTCCGTTCAAAGGGAGTGCAAAATGTATCTGGAACAAAGCCCAGCTTCTAGAACAACTTTGTTTCTCCGTTTATTTATAAACCAAGCTTCTAGCCCTTAAGGTGATTTTAAGAACCCAAAGGAATCAAAGAATTCTCAAACTTCAGAAAAAAGTGTATTATAGTACTTTATAGATATATCTTCAGTGCCAAATTTTAGTACTCCCACAGTTAACAGTACAATGTACCTTGTAGTAGATGATCTGGGTCCAGATCTTAATGGGTCATTTGCTTTTTTTACTCAGCTCAAGTGAAGTTGCTAGACAAATATAGAGCAAAGTTCTTAGTGTTGACTCCTTTGAGAAGACACGAGAGGGATCTGGATATTGGGCTAATAAACAGTGGGGGGCGTGTTATTATTTTGTGGTCCCTCTCTTCCCTTGACCCCTTTGAAGGAATTTGGGCATTAAAATACAAAAGAAGCAGGCTGATTTCCAAATTGTATGTGCCTGTTTCTTAATAGATAGGACATTCTCCGTTTGGTTAAAATAAAATGTATAAGACGTTATTCAACCAAAGTAACTCCTATGCAGTTGTTTGACTTTTCTAATCACAAGTTGTCATCTTCTTTCTATCGCTGCAGATCACGTCTCTGTCGGTGGCCTTGGGGACAGTTTTTATGAATATCTCATCAAATCTTGGCTCATGTCAGATAAACAAGATAGCGAAGCAAAAAACATGTACGATAAAGCTCTGGAGGTAAGGCGGAGAATGAAGCATTATTCCTTTTGCGCTTGATTAGCAGCAAGTACTTTATGAGAAAAACCCCACAGAGAATGGAGGTCAGAGGTGGTATTCAGCCAGTTTGGACTGGTTCTGATGGACTGGTAGCAAAAATTTTGACTGGTTTGGAGAACCGTCAAATACCATCTCTGGCTGGCCCTGCCCACCTGCCTCCGCTCTTACCTCTCCTGTATTCTGTTGTTTATTAGCTCAAGCTAATTAGCTCAGAGCGTGAAGAATGCTCTCCGAACCAGTAATACTTTTTTTTTTTTGAAACCCACCCCGATGGAGATGGATGGCCAAGATTCAGATCTTACCTTAGCATAGAATCACCAGGCAGACTTAGTCCATCCAGCCATCCTTCCAACATTAAGTAGGGTTTGGGCATCATGATTCAGAAACAGGGTGTTTTCCAAATGGGATGATTCTCATTCCAGGTTTTCCACCTCTACACAGGCATCAGAAGACAATTAAAAGCTTGTTGTTCTGGGTTTCATTATCTGCCACCATTCGTCATTGAGTCCAAATCCTACACAGTAGTTAGTTTTAACCATGATTTGCTTGTTTGTTCATTCAGTTTCCGTAGCCACCCATCTCAATCAATGACTCTGAACATCTTACAGTTCCAAAAGTATAACAATTAAAACAATAAAAAATAAAATAAACATACACAGCAGCTGAGATACTTAGCCAGTTATTATATTTATTTGTCTGTTGATACTAGCAAACTCCACAACACGTGAAATTTTAAAGAGTTTGTTTCATAATTAATGTTAAGAATGTCTCGTTGGCTTCAGGAAACATGGCAAATTGCAGTCATTCAGAACCAGAACCATTTCAAACTGCTTCGTCAACTCTGGAACCCTTTTGCTTCCTTGGTGAAACAGCCTGTTTCATGGGCAGGAGCACTTCAAGCATTTTTTGTACAGAGGCTTTTTTGGCTGAAAAAGAAAAACACAGAGATATTTTGAGTCCCAACTTCTGCTAGGATGCTGTGCACAGGATGTTTGGAATTCGGTTAGAGACGTTGTTTACACTGATGGAACAACGCTAGGCTTAAACAAGGCGTGTCCAGCCTGTGGCCCATGAGCCTTAGGTGGCCCTGCACATCTAGTAATGTGGCAACACAAGATCATAAACTGTTAACATTATTGTATTATTTGTATACATTAATTACATTATCTGTATTTTATATGCTTCCTAAGATAATTCTTCTTTACTCAACGTGGCCCAAGCAAGCCAATAGGTTGGCCAACCAAGGCTTAACAGTTCCAGGCTCTTCTTTATGGCTATGCTGGATAAGACCATAGGCAAGTCAGAGGATCTTATGTCCCTATCCCCATTGTCGTAAAAGATAATTGGATGTGTTCTCCAAACTAGCCACAGGTTTTAAGAGCAATGAGAATGGTGCTGGTGTACTGTACTTCTATAACTTTCTGAGCAGTCTATTTTGAAACTGGAGAAAAGCCCAAGTGAACTGTATTCGGGGCTAGAGGATGTAATATTGCCAACACAGAGGTACCTATCCCTGAAGGAATTCTGCATTTCTAATGGTTTTTTTTTTAGCCTGGTTGTGTGGTTCAGTTCCGTTGAATCATGGACATTTGCAGGATGAGAGGAGGGATGCCTCAATGCATAATGATCTCATCACACAAATGAGGCAATTATGTCATCTGCGTCATCTCTTGTTCATGGACACCTTAAGGGTTGATTCATCCGATAAAATTAAAGATGAATGGCTCAACAAGTAAACATGTTCACTTCAATAGAAAAGGATAAATGCAGCGAGGGTAAATGCCGTCCCTCCTAACTTTGGCCTGATGAATTGAACATCTGCACCGCAAATTGTGGAGCTGGACTCCAGCTGTGACAAAAAAGCCTGCAGCTCTTGAAAATCTTGGAAGCAGTAACTTTAGCGGGAAAAGTTAAAATATCATTATACTCTCCACTATTGTGAAGAATATCAAAAGCCACTTCTTTGTATCTTTATTCTTCCTTTTCTACTTTTCCTCAAGCTTTCTTTCCTTGCTCTTTTTGCTTTCTCTTTGCTTTCTTTTTTCCTTAAATTTATATTAGTTTAGGAAACCAGCAGGAAGTAGCAAATTACAGTCACACAAGAGCTTTGTGTAACAGCCATACAGCCTCACTTAATGATAGCATTAAGGATTGGTGGAACTGTTGTCCCGTAGTGGCACAATCACATGACATGATATGGCATCATACATAACAGAGTTTCCAGTCACAATTGTGGGTGTTAAGTGAACACTAACCTGTACTTAAAAACTGCAACTAAACCCCTATAAGGCCACCTGCATATTCCCTGTTTCTTGCTTCTGGAACTATATAACAATGATTCTTCACACCCTATAGTAGTTGTTGATTGGTTTCTGGATACAATTTATGGTGTTGGTGTTGAGATATAAAGCTTTTTGAAGCAGACTAGATGACCACTACAGTGGCCATCTCCTTTCATATATTGGTGGACCACTTGCATACATAGTTTTTGATAGTGCTACCAGTGTATTCTTTATTTTATTTATAAACCTCCTTCATTTTTCTTCATTCCACACAAATAACTCACTTTCTCTCTTTTCCAAATGCTGTGAAATTTAGGCCATAGAAAAGCACCTTGTCAAAAAATCGCCTGGTGGGCTAACCTATATTGCCGAATGGCGAGGAGGCATCTTGGATCATAAAATGGGGCACTTGGCTTGCTTTTCTGGTGGTATGATAGCCCTTGGAGCGGAACACGCCCTGGAAGAACAGAAACAGCACTATTTGGATCTAGCTGGGGAAATAACACACACCTGTCACGAATCTTACATTCGCTCAGGTAAAAATCCGAAAACCCAAGCCTGTTTTTGAGAAAAGGTTCTGTGCACTCTTATTCACCAGTTAATATTGTACACGGGTAACATCCACTAGAGAAGCCCAATCTTCACTTCATCCTCAACTACTGCTATTGGCAATCTACTTCCAGTTGCCCAGCTGAAGTCACAAAATGCACCATTGTATTATAACCCATTATTTGCTAGTCTCCATATTCTGCCAGAGCTGGAAAGTACCTCCAGTGGAAAGGTGTCAATTGTCAGTCTTGACAAAAGGACTGCATTTGATCTAGTGTCATGTGCAAACAACAAGGACCACTGATGAATAGCCTCAAGCAGAAGCTTTATTGTCAGTCACCCATGTTACAAGAATCTTCCAGACTGACTGCATTCGCTTGGGAAGGGTCAGATAAGGCTCCAGGCCTGTGCCACTTTCTGCAGTGCAAGGACTCTAACCCAGACCCCTTTTAAACATCACGTGGAGATTCAATCACATCTAGATTGGTTGTCTTTTTCCTCTTTTAATGTCTAAACTGAGGATCTGTCTACTTCTTTCAGTTTGGCTTGATAGTGATGGTGTTTGCTTCTCCAGGTCAGGCCCTCATAACGGAAGTTTAGCAGGCACCTAAGGCTTAGGATCAATTCATTTGTTTCACTTGCAAGAGATCTGAAAAATGTTTCTACTTCCCAGTGAAAGTATTCATGAATATACCATTTGTTTAGTGAATTCACACGTTCATCCCAAATTTTAGTTGACCCTGCAGCTATCAGAGCATCCTCTGACCATTCTGTTTTTGTTTTGTGGCTAGATACCAACCTGGGCCCTGAAGCATTTCGTTTTGATTCTGGAGCGGAAGCGATGGCCACACGACTCAGTGATCGTTATTACATCCTGCGCCCCGAGGTTGTAGAGAGCTACTTCTACTTGTGGAGGTTGACACATGACCCCAAGTACAGAGAGTGGGGTTGGGAAGCTGTCCAAGTAAGTCAGAAAAAATGTTCTAAGCCTGTTCCTTTCGACTAAAGTCTAAAAGTTGGTTTGGTTTGAAGGTTGTTGTCAGAAGTAACATTTGCTTCCATCTCAAGTTGTGAGAATCTCACTTCTGCTGAGGGGGCTCCGTTGTTAGGCAGTACTGAGGGCATTAACTGGCCTTCATCTGCCCCTGATATCTATGTTTTAATAATTTACTCAGTTGTTATACAATCTGTTTTGGGATGAACAAAAAAAGGCGAAGAGTCATTTGGAGCCAAAATCGAATCAATAAATAAACTTCTACTGCTGGCTCAAAGCATTCTATCTTTTGTGCTGCATTCCTGAATGGTACCCTTCAGTTTGTGGCACATGGCAGCCACAATGTCTGATCTCTTTATGGAATCTAAGGGAAGCCCTGCTGGATTTAACCTAAAGCTTCCCTAGCACAGGACCTTGGTTTCAGTAGCACCCAAGTATATGATCCTTCATGGGCTTCCATGTAACATAAAATAAGAATTTGAGGACCCATAACTCCAGAAAAATTTCAGGGAGATTTCCTGAGGTTCTTCTCTAAGATCCTCAGCCAAACACAAGAAATGCCTGCCACCTCATCCTCGCAAGGAATCAAAGCAAAGTTTCCTTTAGCCATCAAAGGTTGACTTGGCCTGATCTCAACCTCAGCCTATCCTACCCTACACTAGGGGGTCATTGCAGGGAAATTTGTGGAAGGAAGGCTCTCCTTTCTCTTTCTGAAACAAATTACCTTGGAAATAAAGCTCTAGGGTGGGACAACAGACCAGGAGAACCTGCTCCAGTCGCTGGGCAACACTGGGCCACCCAGTTGGCCTCACGTAGCACTCGTAGGAAGATGCAGAGTGGAGGAAGACTATGCAGGCCATCTAGACCAGTACAGGAGAGGTAGGAAAGGCCAGCTGGAAGTCCAGCCATGAGAGCTCCCCAAGTTGCTTTTCAAAAGACAACTGGAGGTTTTTTTTGCTTGTCCTTGAAGACATTTTGCTTTTCATCCAAGAAGATTCTTCAAGGTGAGGAGTGAAAGGATTTATATTCCTTGCAGATATCCGGTCATTTGTATTCTTTTAGAGAGTCATTGATGCCACCTTGAAGTTTATCTGTGCTCTCAGAGTCACCTGAATAGTGGAAATTGGTGTGGAACCTTCTTGGAACTGTTGAAAGGACTGTGTGGTAAAGAGGAGATAGGTGATGTTGCGTCTCTTTTGAGAGAGGGTTGTTCAATCTTATTTTAAGACCTTAACACTAAGAGGGAAGAAAGTCCAGTTGCCTTTTAAAAAAGCACCTTTGGGACAACCATGACCCAGATGACCGAGAATCTCCATCAACATCTGAGGGCTCCTGAGGCTGAAGCAGAGCCACCACTGATTCCTGCTGCTGGAGAACCTCTCAGAAGCGTCTACCTCAGCGAGTCACTATCTAGTAGGGTCACCACCGCTGCCTCCTTCCACCCATGATGAATGGGTGCTGCTTTGCCATTCTTGGAACTGAGTTGACTTTCTTCTCTTCCTTACTTTCCAAATCAGGCACTGGAGAAATTTTGCCGAGTAGAAGCTGGTTTCTCTGGAATCCGCGATGTGTACACAACCACCCCAAGCCACGACAACATGCAGCAGAGCTTTTTTCTGGCAGAGACACTAAAGTAAGTCCTGAGTATTTTCCATCGTTTGACCATCAAAAGGAGTTTAGGAAGGAGGGTGTTTTCCATGAAGCAAGTCATGGGGGAATTCACGGTCCCTGAACAGCACAGAAAAGGTATCTTTAGAAGAAAATGCACTTATTGTGGTGGTAGTGTTGCATTCCCATGACCAAGTTCTGACAAATGGCCAAAATACCACTGGTCCTGCTGGAACCCAACTCAAAAAGTTAGCCTGACTTCAGAATTCTCTTTTTTATATATAGTAATGTAAGTAAAATTTACAATTGCCACAATAAAAAAACTAATAGCAACTTAAAAAGAAAAAAAAGAAGAATAGATGGTGCAGAAAAGAGGAAACGAAAAAAATAAGAATGTAGCAAGGAAAAAAGAAATATATAAAGAAATTACTCCTCCCTTCACCACAAGTATAAACAATTAACTTACCACACTATCTTTTAAAATACAGGTAGTCCTTGACTTATGACCACAACTGGGACTGGATTTTCCCTTATTAAGCAAGGTGGTTGTTAAGTGAGTCACGCCCAATTTCACAGCCTTCTTTGTCATGGTTTTTAAGTGAATCGCGTCGATAAGCAAATCCAGCTTCCCCCGTCTGATCTTGTTTGTTGGAAGCTGGCTGAAGATGCTGGAACCATCCAGAGTTGCCAAGCCTTCGAATTTTAATCATGTGCCCACTGGGGCACCGATGGTTGCAAGTGCAACCGTGAAGTTACTTTTTTCCAGTGCCGTCATAACTTTGAACAGTTGTTCAACAAATGGTCGTAAGTTGAGGACTACCTTCTTCCCATATCCCATCTCTTATCCACAACCAAATCCTTAAAGCCTGGTTATTTCGCTTCTGATCTCAGCACAGGACAGTTTGGGGTGCCACTCGGTGGTTCTCCCTTTGAAGTGGGCTGTTTCAATCATTTTGAAAGGGTTCAGAGGTTGAAACACAGCCAGTGTGAAGCAAGCCTGTTCCGGCTGTTTGAACCCTAAAGAGTCCACCTTGAAGATTTGGTACACTGCTGGTCCAGACTCTGTTGTATGCATCTAATCCAAGGGTGGTGTGATGACTGGGGGTGTGGCACAAAAGCAACAAAGTCACAAAAGTAGGTAAAGTCCCTCCAACTTGGCTCCCAATGTCCAGTTATCATTGGCTGGAGAAAAAAATCTCCCAAGAACAATCTTTTAAGGGAAGAAATTGAGTCCGAACCCAAAGTACATATAAATTATAAATAAAAACTAACACAAACCACGCTGCAGCAATTAACGAGACAGGGCAGGATAAGGAATTGCAGAACTCAAAAAATAACAAACACACACAGTTGGGATAACGCCAGAACCCAGATATGCCTCAGTAAACAAAGATAATGCACGCTTTGCTTCCAGCAACTTTGCTGAGCATAGTTTGCCTTTTTAAACAGTTTCCCCAGCTGCAGCTAATGAAGTGGATCAGGGCCCTTTCCTCCCCGTAAACCACATAACTCACGTTGATCCCTTATCCGTTCCTCCCTGCGTGCCCTAGGATGAAAAGGGGTTGGCCCTGGATCTTCCTCTGAATGCCCAGAGCACAGCCACTGGAGCCACACTCCCACTCCCTGTCAGCTGCTCGACCTCCCCCTCAGAATCAGATTCCAACAGGGGCATGACAGGTGGGGAACAATGGCCATTTTATGACTTGTGGACTTCAACTCCCAGAATTCCTGAGCCAGCGTGCACACACGGGCATCCTAACTTGCATGAGTAGTGGACAAGTGCATGCATGCTGCATTTAAGTGAAGGGCAAACATGCATGCATGCCACTCGCACTAAAGGAGCTGTGTGCACACTTGCTGGCTGTTCAAGTGGAACCATCCCCTCTCTCCCACAGTCGGCCCACAAAGCTGGAAACATTGGGGAATTCTACTCCACATAGGATGTTTTGAATTTAATTAGAGAAGTTGTAAACAAAAACCAGGCTCAAACAAGATGTGTCCAGTCTGGGGCCCATGGGCTGCATTTGGCCCTGGACAGCAGCATGTCTGGCTCAGGAATTCTGGGAGTTGAAGTCCATGTGTAAAAGGGCCCTTTGTCATGTCCCAGTCGGAGTCTGAATCCAAGAAGGAAGCCAAACAGCTGACAGGGAGTGTGAGTGTTGCTCCATTGGCTGTGGAGGAAACTGAGGAAGGGCAAAGTCCAGCTGGGCAGAGCAGGGGAGAGGTAGAACAAGTAAGAGGGAGTTCAGAGGAAGACCCAGGCCCACCTCCTCTTCATCCTAGGGTGTGCAGGGAGGAATGGAAAAGAGAGCAACATGGGTTGCATGGCTTACAGGGGAGGAGTGGGCCCCGATTCCCTTCATTAGCCACAGCTGGGAACACAGTTTATAAGAAAGGCAGGCTGCGTGCAGGAGCAAACGTGACTTTATCCTGTGTTGTCATGGCTTATCTGTGTTCCTGGCATCTTCCAAACCGTGTGAGTTTTGCCGTGTCTTCAACTCTGAAATTCTTGCTCCTGCCCTGCCAAACGAATTATTTCAGTTTGGTTTGTTTGGACTTTAAGTTACACTTTGTGTTGACCATGTTTTGGACTTAATTTTCTGCAGTCAAAGTCTGTTCCTGGGAGAGTTTTTCTCCAGCCAGAAAGTAACCTGGACATTGGGAGCAAAGTTGGAGATAATAAAGGGACTTTTATTGATTATCTGACTGTGTTGCCTTTGTGCCACGCCTCGGGTCATCACACCCTTTTATGACTTGTGCAGGGGTGGGATTCAATTTTTTTAACAACCAGTTCTGTGGGCGTGGGCTAGGTGGTGCGTGTGGCTTGGTGGTCATGTTATTGACTGAGTGTGGTCAACTCCATATCACTCACATCGGGGCACGCATCTCCTCGCCTGGCCTCTCATGACTGTGGGGATGCTGCAACAGTCGTAAATGTGAAAAATAGTCATAAGTCACTTTTTTCAGTGCCATTGTAACTTTGATTGGTCACTCCACCCAAGCAAAGTACCAGCAAAGGAGGGGGAAAAAACTCCAGAGAAGTTCCTGAGACAGGAAGTCTATTCCTGCCAAGAATGTAATAAGAGTTAACGGAGAGACAATTTCTGTAAGCAACACCAGAATGTTTCCTTCCTGCCTTCCTTACAGGATTAGGCCAGGAATTTCTTCTAACAAATCGGTTCTCCGAACTGCTTAGAATGTTAACAACCGGTTGTAGCGAATAGGTACGAACTGGTAGAATCCCACCCCCGGACTTGTGGAGTTCAACTCCCAGAATTGACTCAGGAATTCTGGGAGTTGAAGTCCACGTCATAAAAGGGCCATCATTCCCCAGTCCTGATCTAACCCCAAATCAACCAAGGTAGCAAGTGTAGCACATAGGCCATAAACAAATGATATCCGAGAGTCTCGCCCAGCAAGCTTTCTCTGCTCTTCTCCTGGCTCCAGGTATCTCTATCTTCTGTTCTCTGAAGATGACGTGCTCTCTCTCGAGGACTGGGTGTTCAACACTGAAGCTCACCCGTTGCCTGTGAATCACACAGATTTTGTCCTGAAGTCAAGAATGCAGTAGGAGCAACTCGGCCCTTCTGGGTTCTGCAAAAGGATCCCGAGGGGTTGCTTGCATTTTTTTTTTCCTTCTCCTTTCCAGCAAAGGAATGCACATATTCCCAGAAAGGTATTTTGGGGGCATTCGTCCAATTCCGGACAGTATTATATCGGGGAGTATAAAAAAAACTGTGAATCAAGCACCTTCATGGGTTTTTTTTTTTTCCTCTGTGAGGAAACTTATAACCTGATAATTGGATGTTGATTACGGGCCATAAGAGAGACAAAATCGCGGACGTTCCTTTCTATGAAGAATTTCTATGGAATCCACTGACTTTCGCTTTTGCGTGGCCAAAGGATCAGGAGTTTGCCATAAAATAGATGTCAGTTTGTGCCACTCTTCTTGCCCCAAACTTGCTCCCTCCTTTTTTATATACCATTGATTTCCCCCTCCACCTTTCTGATCTTTTTTTTCTTTCTAAAGCAGTACAACATCTCAAGAGAGGTTCTGGTTAAGAAATCTTTCTAAATCCCACACAATTCTTTCTTTGCCCCTTTCCTCACCGGTCTTTCCATTCTCTTCAAATGTTTGCCAACTGTCGTTTTTCTTTTTTTCTCCTTTTTTCCCCACCCTGCATTTTGCTTTTTCACTTTCCTTTGGTTTTTGGGTTTTTTTTGTTTTTTGTTTTTTCCTTTTCATCTGGAGCAAAACCTTATGAGGCATTTGTAATGATTTCATTTCTGTAATGCTCAGATGTGAAAAATAAAATAAAAATTTCATGACGGCTAAAAAAACAAAGACGCGTGGCTGGGTGGCATGGAAGGTTAGGCAAGAAAAGAGGCAGCCAAGAGGTGGCTGGAAGCAACAGGGGCCTTGGCAGGTTCCCCTGGTTCTTGGCTGCTGAAGCAGACGGGAAGAGCCGGCTCCTAGGCTGCCTTAGAACAGCAGGGGCTTCAGTTCCAAAAGGGGGAAGACAGGATGGTGGACTGAAGGCAGAGTGGCTAAAGGACGGAGTGGACTGGCTGCCTCTGCCTCCTGGAAGCCGAGAATTTAGTGGCCAAAGCCGGCAATTGTACAAGTGGGTGAAGCTGTGTCTGCTGAACAAGTTCTGCCTGTCTGTCTGCACAAGAACTGTATTCGAGTTAAGCAGCTTGCCCTTTGTGATCTCAGGGCAGCGGACACAACACTTGGCGCCTGTGAACCTGGTTCCTGGAAGTTAAATCTCTCGAGGACAGGCAGTCCTTGACTTATGTCCGCACCTGAGCCCCAAATTCCTTTCGTTAAGCGAAACAGTTGTCAAGGGAGTTTTGCCCCGTTTTACAACTTTTCTTGCGACAGTGAATCGCCGCAGTTGTTTAGCATTACAGTTGTTAAATGAAATCTGGATTCCCCATTGACTTGGTCAGGTGGTCGCAGCAAGGGGTCACGTCAGTGGTGGGATTCAGATTTTTTTACTACTGGTTCTGTGGGCGTGGCAGGGGAAGGATACTGCAAAATCCCATTTCCTCCCCATCCCACTAACCTGCTTTTCAGCTCCATTCTCCTGTGCAGGGCAACAAAAGAGACCCATCCAATCAGCTGGGACTCGGGAGGCGGAGAATAGATGGGGGCGGGGCCAGTCAGAGGCGGTATTTGCTGGTTCTCTGAACTACCCAAAATTCCACTACCGGTTCTCCAGAACTGGTCAGAACCTGCTGAATATTACCTCTGGATCACATGACCCTGGGATAATGCAACCATCATACATACTGCCAGATTTCAAGCAATCAAATTTTGATCCCTGTGGCCTTGGGGATGCTGCAACGTTCATAAGTGTGAAAAATGGTCATCAGTCAGATCCGTTGTAACTTTGGTCGCTAAGCAAATGGTTGTTAAGTCGGGGACTATCTGTACACTACCAATCATATATTTGTTTAATAAATTTATATGTTACTCATCTTCCTATCTGAAGTGACTCTAGGCCAGGGCCCCCAAAACTTGGCAACTTTAAGACTTGTGCACTTCAACTCCCAGAATTCCTCAGCCAGCTGGCTAGAGAATGCTGGGAATTGAAGTCCACAAGTCTTAAAGTTGCCAAGTTTGGAGACCTCTGCTCTAGGCAGTTTACAATACAATAAAAATACAAAAACAGCTTGTCTTCAGCAACTATTGAAAGTTACAAGAGTGAGAGACTAAAACCTGGGGGGCTTGAGTGGTGTGGAGGTAGGTGGTGTCTTCTCGTACTCACTTGAATAATGTCCTTTACTAACGTGGATACCGGTTGTTGAAGATGGTGGTTAAAGTCAAAATCTCTAGCAAGCGCCAGGTTGGGGAGGGTGTGTTAATTCCCCTGGTTGAAGTTGGTTGTGTGTATTTATCACACCTCCTTAAGCTTTTCTTGTTCAGATTTAACTGCACTTCTGCAAGATCTTTTTACTCTCTTTCTCTGCCACGGATGATTGCTCAGGTACTCAAATCAAGCGATGCATTTCTCTTTCTCCCAAGATTTTGGTGGCTTTCTTTCTAGATTTAAAGAAGGAAAGAAAAGGCGCTTAGAGCAAGATGCAGAAGAGATGTTTTGTGTTGAATTTGCAGCTCTTGAAGCCGAGGGGTGGGGTGGGAGAAGGGTCAGACTGTCTAATAGACCCCTTGGAGATTTCATCTTCGGGATCAGAAGACTGGCGCTCTCTGCCTAGTGGAGAGTTACTCCTAACTGCCTTGAGAACCTCTCATGTCTCATCCTTTTGCAAGCATTCCTAGCAGGAAAATAAGCGTTTGCCAAAATATTTTTTTTAAATAGACCACGTACAGAATCAAAGAGCCTCTTGACATGAATCAGAGGGTATCATTCTAGCTCCTTGTAGAATTTCTGTTGAATTTTGAAGTACAGTGAAGCAGCTTTATTTATCACCTTTATTCAAACATCACAGAATGTGTCTAAAAGACCTCGCCCCTCACATTTGGAGCACAGTCTTCAGAGCAGTTCTTAAAGATGGAGGAAATATTTTTATTTTCTTTTGAATGATGTACATCTTCCCTATCTGTGTATAATAATTTACTGCCTAAATGCATCTGAGAGCAGCAGGCGTTAAACCAGAGCCAGACATGATTCAGGGCGTACAGATAATCCTCACCACAATTCAGACCCGAACTTAATGCTAATGATGCAGTCATTAAGTGAGTCATGCCCAATTTTATGACTGTTTTTCCATCTGACGCAAACCCAGTTTTTCCCTTTGAGTTTGCTTCTCAGAAGCCCCCTGGGAAAGTTACAAACAGCAACCACATAATGCCAGGACACTTGTAGATACATGCTGGTTACCAAGTGCCCGAATTCTGATGATGTGGCCACAGATGGTCATAAGTGCATGGTCAAAAGTCACTTTTTTCATCATCATTATAACTTCAAACAGCCTTTAAACAAATAGTCATAATTTAGGAACTATCTGTATCTTTCTCTTCTCCCTGCTCTGTCCAATGCAAGTATCTGCTAAGGAGAAATAGCAAATATATAGTACTCTTTCCAGAATCTAAAATAAAATGCATTAAAAATCTGAATGAACAGAACAGTTTTTTTCAACAGATAGCAACTTTGTACTTGATAATGAACTTGAAAGTAGCCAAAGATATTTTTTACTTCATTAAATCTAAGACTCAAAATTGAGTCATTATTGCATTTGGCAGTTAGAAATTGCATACAACTTCCAAGGACCTTAGCTAATCTTGAAAAAGCTAAACAGGGTTAGAGATTACTTGGTTAGGAAAACTCCAGAAAATCCCAGGGCAGTAGGTTAGACTAATAAATCAATAGTAATCATCATCATTGTCATCCTGGAAGATGGCTGTGGCAAATCACATATTATTGCCAAGAAAACTACATGGTCTTATTTATGTAAGTCATATAGGACTTGGAGAAGATTTGAATTTTTATTTTAAAATTGTTTTGGTTTATCCTTCTGAACCAAGATGATGTTCATAAAATTCAGTGGAGTGAAATCCGAGAGGTAAAATGCATTCCACCCCACACATACACTACATCTGATCTATGTTTGCTTGGATTTTCTTTGAAATCTGAAGAAATCTTTACATGCTCTCCATCCCCACCTTCTACTAAATGTTGTAGCAGACTACAGCAGGAATCTTCATTATAGCAAAGGGAGGGGGGAAATGAGAAAAGATGGATGGGAAAAAAAACTAAAGAAATATGTTCTACCACATTAAAGGAGAGTTAAAAGTATACGATTATTCTCTGTTGTCTAATATGGCAAATTTGTGAGTGTGGTGAAATTTCAATTGATTGGTGAAACAAAACCACCACTTCATGAGCACATGGCACAACATAGGAAGATCAAAATCCATCAGGACAAGGTTTAGCAGCCCATCTGCATTTGAAAGACAAAGGTCACTCTTTTGAAGACAGCAAATTTTGGATAGAAAGGAACATTGGTTTGAAAAAAAGGTAAAAAAAAGTCCCTCTATTTTAGAATTTAACAACCCTCCCTCTACAGAGAGTGAGGATTGGAATAAGGCACCCCCTATCTCCAGTTTACAACTTGGCTTTTGCAGATTCCACAACCAGTTGCACCCTAATTCAGATGCTCCTGTGGGCACAAATAAACCCCTATGTGGCCTCAACTGCTCTCAGAGAATGCTAACAACCAGATGACTGCAGAGAAATACAATCCTTCCATACCCCTGCCACCATCCTATCAGAATCTGCCCTTCCATCCCTCCACCATCAGAACTGATGAAGCTTCTTGAATTAAAAGCAAAATGTTTTCTTCCTCAAGGAAAAAACAGCCCAGTTGTCTTTCGAAGAGAAAAAAAGCACCTTTTGAGATTTCAGTTGATTCTTATCTCTTGACTTTTTGAAATGCAGCTGCCAGTTCAGTTGGAAGAGCAGAACATACAAACTTACAAAGTGTAATTATTTCAAACATATTGTGACACACACACACACACACACACACACACACACACACACACACACACCAAAAAAGTCTGTGGTCTAACCAATCTGCAAAAGAAGGGGTTTTTTTTTTTCTTCTAGAAGTGCGACATGCAATACAGCAAATCATGCCAATGTGCTCCAGTGGGGAGAAAGTATGTCAAACTGAGGACATGAATATTACAAGTACATCACAATTGATTGTATAACCTCTTACAGAAGGAAAACAATGATGAAATCACATAGCAACTGCGTGGCATGCAGATTGACACGCTTGTTCTAAGAACTGTTCTTGAGAAAAAGACAAAGGTAGCATTAATAGTATTTTTTAAAAAAACCGTACTATGTACTATGAAATGGCAAGAGGAGGTTTGGGAAGCTTTTGGCAGAAATTTGGTGGCTGGCAAAGTGGAGTAGACCTTCTTTCTAAGAAAGAAAAATGGGAGCACCAAAAAATGGAAATAATTGACCGGCTATTTATCTGATTTCAGAAGGAAGGGAATAGAAGGAAACTCACAGTTTGAATGAACCCACTTGAATTTTTTAAGGCATACCACAGATTTTGCTCCAACTGAAAGAAACACTCTGAAGTGCATTAGACATCATACATTGGTTCAAAAACAGTTTATGGCATCCAGTGATATTTGGGTTTCCTGTGCTGGGATTTCCTTTCCTTCCCCTCCCTCCCTGCTACCCTTTGGGCCCCAGCAACACAAACTGAGAAAACTAAGCAATTTAGTATTTGTTCTAGTAAGGAGACAAGAACCAAGATGGAAATGGGAAGATTTATAGCCACTGGCAAGACTGTTATTAAGGACTCTACAGCCAAAATCATGTGGATGTAAAAACATAAAATTGCAAAGGGAAAAGTGAGCTTTCTCCTTAGATCCTGACCACACATGAAAAATAACAAGCAGGAATGCCATTTCCACCAGAATCAAAGGGAGCGATTTAGCCAGTGTCGGGAAAAAGATACTGGCAAGGCCCCTCTTATATTTTCTTCATGGGGAGGGGTGTTTAATGGGTGTCCTCTTGTTTCAATAGAAAAATGGAGCATACAGATCATTGCTACACCTCTTCAAGCACATAACTCCTGTTTTAAATGCTATGTGTATCTGTCCCTATGTCTGAATGCATATCCATCATTTGATGGCTACGTACATTAAGCTACATTCATCAAGGTGGACAGCAGCCTCAATGTCACATATAAGCCCTATAGTAACACAGTGACACTAAAAATAATAAGGGAAGGCAGCATTTTTGGTGGTTTCATCATTTTAATCTTTCTCACACATCCAGGTCTAGACAGCAAAAGACATAAAAGAGAAAGAGGGAAAAAAATAGTAATCTGAAGTCAAAAATGAAACATATTCCAATGTGTTTGGGGTTCTTAATTCCGCCATCCATCATCGGAAAAATATAGCTATTCTTTTATCAATCTGGGAATTTCATAAGTGCTGTAGGACTATGCAGGCTTAATAAGGATCTGGTAGACAGTGATTTATGGAAGAAGATTAAAGTAACTTAATATTTATCACTTGGCCAAACAACGGCTAGCTAAAGAGGGATGTGGCTTTCATGCAATAGGTTCTAAGACCTGCATTCCTCAAAGAGAGAAGGATATAAAAACAATGCAATGGCAAAAAGCTATAGAATGGTTTGATACACGATAGGAGCACTTGTGAGTTCTTTGCACAAAAGCGCAAGTGAAGGGGAATAGCTTAGACAAAAATGGCATGGATTGTATACTGCATCACAATCTTATTTGATTTATATCCTGCTTTTTGTTTAGGAGCAGGAGGCAGCATTTGCAAAGCTTCCTACTCCTATTTTTCCTAGTCCTTGTTCTTAACTATGACACTATACTGTGTGTAGGAACCACCCTTAATGGTTGGCAAACCATGGTGATGGTTTAGCATGTTGGTTGTGTTGGGGGACTTCTTTGACAAACAGCATAAACAAAGGGTTGTTTAATGCCTTGTTCAAATCAGCCCCATAAATCAAATAAGAGCCTTGCAGAATTTGAAATATGGTCGCTCTCATCTTAGAGAGACCTGTATTCATTGTGCCTCCCAGATGGCTGCTGAAAGTAGGTCATGGAGTGGAGTGGCCAATATCCAACAAACCATAAGCAAAAGGCGAAACGTTTTAGAGCAAATTCTGTGCATAAAAATTAGATCAGGCTGTCTAATACGAGGGAAATACAGAGCATAAAACGTGCTACTGGTAGAAAAAGCGGAGGTAAATAAGAAAATAACCATTTAGCAACTATTCACAGTTACAATAATGAAAAAGGAACTTTGTGATCAATCCTCAGACTAACGACCTTCGCAGGATTGCAAAGCAAATCTGAAGTGAGATCATAAGCATAATCTCAGTTTCACTTAGTGACCACTTTGCATTAATGACTGAAATGCCGTTACAAATTGTGCTTGCTAAATGAGTACTACCTGTATTATGCTACATGTACTTATTTTTACTTCTACCCTATCTTTTCAGAGAAAAATAATATTTATTCTCGCTAATTTTATTCTTGCAATTACTTTGAGGAAGATATGGAAAGATGGTGATCCAGGTTTAGTGTCACATGAAGTTACAGTTTGTTTTTAAGTGATTCACTGAACTACTTGGTTGGATTTATAAAGTACCTGGTGAGATACAACATGCCAGCAGCGCCTCTGTTCCCAGGCATGTAAATCTTTCTGCTTGGTACACTCATCTCTGTGTATCAGCAGAGCTGGCTGTGATGTAAAAGCCAATATTCCAGCAGTTCCAGCTGTTGCAATGGTTACCTCATTTTTCCTAGAATGAAGAAAAAGGAAACAAATATATTATGGCAGAACAGAACTTGCTCTTTTTTTTTTTTTTAACTTCCATCCCATCTTGTAGGAATGAAACAAAAAGAGCCATGTATATGGATTGTGCTGCAAGGCCCTGATACTGGTGCAACCATTTTAGGACTTTAATCTCAGCCCCAGTATTGTTATTCGTTCGCGATCCAAATAGTTGACAGAGGATTCCAGCCAAAATAGATTTATTTATAATGTATAACACATTCCTAAAGACATAAGCTACCTGTTAACAGTTTCCTCATTCTGAGGTCTGGATTGGCCTCTTAAGTAAACAGTGGGCAACACTTCACTCTTTTCTCTGGGACTGATATAGGGATATTTAGGAGATGAAACATTTTCTCTTTTTTTACTCTGACCAGAAGGAGGCAGGCTAGCGTAAAAGATTTATCCCAGTCAGGGCTGCCCAGTGTCTTCCAGACAAGAGAGGAGCTTTAAACCTCATGCTGTGAGACTAGCACTAGAGACTGGAACTAAAGCTAAGTTTCATTAAGTAAAAGTAAACACAGTTAATATGATTCTGTTTCAGAAATGTCTTTTAGAATTTCTCCTTTGATAACACTTAATGGTTTCTGGGAGCCTCACTCAAGTCTTTTTCTATCCCTTGAAGACCCATGCACATCACCAGAAATACAGAACAAAAGAATATGAATTCAAAAATAACAATGGCCACAGGAGCAGCATTAACGTTACATTGACTACAGCACACTCACGCTACAAAAACCTGTTCTGTCTTGGCTCTTTCTTCTACAGGACTTGAAATCTCAGAGACATCCCCAGAAATCCTCACAAATCAAAAGTAGCATCAGCCACTGGCTGATTGACCTCTGTGGATTTCAACGGACAGTTCGGTGTGCCACCAGCAACAAAGCAAAAAGTTCACACTGTTAGGATACACCCTGCTTGCTGGATGGTATGCAGAAATATTTGCATTCTTTTCTCTAGCCATTTTTGTAGAGTTTCGCAAAAGAGAATTTGTTTCTGAAATTTATTTCAAAGGAGAAATTAATTTATGTGAAATTGTCCTAGATGGGGGTGCAAACCTGCACCTCTTTATTTAGTCATGAAGCAGCTATATTTTAACAAATATCTTGTCTTTCATGGTACAATAATCTCTTCAGAAGTTTGCAGGCTCTGTGGCATACCATACTTCCAAAGGAAAGGATCTCTAAAACATGACTTTTTTTAAAGTGACAGACTGGGAAGTGCCAAGTAAACTGGAAGAATTCAAAATGATAAAACATTCAGAACAGAAAGTATAGGAACATCTGCACTAGAACATAAAGCTGTCACAGAAACTGTGAGGTCCTGTAGTTCTTCAATAAAATAATTTTAAAAACCATTGGTACTGTCTTAGTGCAGAGATGAGTTCTGGTCGCATCAAAACACAAATAAAGGACATTTTGTAGCTGAATACTTCTTCCAGTCATCACAAGTTTCCATTCCATGCTGGATTCTATAAAGCTGATGCCATCATCATACTGACTGACATATTGGCCACAACCCTCAGAGGTTTTTGGAAGGAGCACAATACACAATGGTTGTACTGAGCTGATGCAAAGTTTAATAGAATAACTGCCCAAGCAAGAGAATGCATAGGTAGATTCTGGTGCTGATCATGATTATTTGGTTTAAATTGATCATGGATGGTTTTTATCTATTTGTCTATTGTTTTTGATTTGTTTTTCACTTGTAGTGAGCCACCCAGTTGCTTGGATAAAATGGGCAGCCATACAAATGATGCAAATAATGATAATAAATACTACTAGCTTTAGTAGTAAGTAGCTGAAAGCTTTAGTATAGGCATCATACCCATCTCTTACCATCTTTTGTGGTGGTTGTGCATTAATTAGCATGGAGCATAAGGTAAGAAATAGCTGCACAGATATAGATGCTATAGATGGTTAGAAAACTGGTAACTAATAATTTGATAATGAGCAATGAATAGAGGACTGAAATCTCCTAAGCTGCGAGTTAGGATGATGAGATCCCTTGAGATGTTTTTCTTTGCTGTTTGGTTCTTTAGATTTTGTTCCTAGTTATTTTATTTTCTTATTTCTGAATGTCATTTCATTTATTTTTAACGTTATCATTACATCAATTACCTCTATTGATACTTGATTTTGATACATGGATACACCTACTGCTTGATACACTATTGTTGCAAAACTGTATTGTTTATATCTTTTTTCATAAACCTTTTTTCTTTTTCTTTTTCTTTTTAACCTCTAAGCCCAGTAGTAAAGAATAAAAAGGAAAGATAAAACAAAATGTTACAAGATCAAGACAATTTTTTGTGGCGGTCCTTTTCATGCCTACTTCTCCGGAGAGTTCCCAGACTCTCGTGCTCTGGTAGCCACCAAACCACCCAAAATGACTTTGGGCTGGTCTCAACCTCAACCCATCCTATCCCACAGGGTTGTTGTGGGGAAATTTATGGAAGGAGATCTGAAGCAAATTACAGGTAGTCCTCAACTTACAACAGCTTGTTTAGTGACCATTTGAACTTACAATGGCACTTAAGTGATTTATGGCTGTTTTTCACGTATGACCGTTGCAGCATTCCATGGACATGTGATCAAAATTCAGATGCTTGACGGGACTCATATTTATGACTCATATTTATGACGGTTGCAGTGACCCGGCGGCTCATGTGATCCCCTTTTGCAACCTTCTGACAAGCAAAGTCAATGGGGAAGCCAGAGTCACTTAACAACCATGTGACTAAGGTAACAATGATTCGCTTAACAACTCTGGCAAGAAAGGTCACAAAACAGGGCAAAGCTCGCTTAATAAATGTTTCACTTCACAACAGAAATTTTGGCCTGTAGGAAAAGGATCCAGTGGGAAGGGAGGGCGAGCCAGGAGACCCTGAGCAACTCCGAGTCGGCCTAGTGGGCCCCGAGCGGCGGTGGTGGGAAGACGCGGGGAGGAGGAGGAGGAGGGAGGAAGACCGCGCAGGCCGCCTGGACCAGCGCAGGAAAGGCGGGAGGCGGGCGAGGGCAGCTGGAAGCTCCGCCGTCACGCCGCGCCGCGCCGCCCGAGGCCGAAGGGGAGCCGCCTGTCGACTGAGGGGATCCTGAGATGCCGCCGCCTTCGCTGCTTTAGAGGTCCGCGAAAGAACCACGAGGCCGCCGCCGCCTCTCTCTGCATTCCGGGCGAGGCGGGACCGAGAGCCGGCGCTTCCCCCTCCCGGCCCGCGGCGGCCATGGCCCGCGGCGGTGAAGAGGAGGGCCGCCCGCCCGAACAGGCCGCCTCTCCTACGGAGGCCTCCCAAGGCGGCGGTTCTGGGCGCCGGCCGCCCCCGGCGCTTCCTCCTGCTCGGCTGCCACGGCTGGGCCTGGGCCTGGCCTTCCTGGCGGCGCTGCTGGCCGCCAAATACTACCGGGACGCGGAGGCCGCCCGGCGGCAGGTAATGAGGAGCTGGGGTGGGGGTGGTCGGGCCTTGGGGGAGGGGGCAGCTGTGGGGTCTCGGGACGTTGAAGGGGACCGAGACTGATAATAATAATAATCCCATAATCATGATTATGTTGAAGAGAGAGGGAATGAATATCATATTGAATAAAGTCATAATTAAATATTAAGTCATGATAAAGAACTGCAACCCCAAGGAGTGCAAGGAGCCTGCAGTCTACCAGGGCTTCTGCACAAGATATTCCTAAGGCCTTTTTTGAGGTCATTGGGGTTTTATTCTGGAGACAGTGGAGAGTAAAGATGGGGTCCTTCCCATGGTGCTTTTGATTCTCGGTTTAGAAGGGGGTTCAGAAGGGGCTTGGTCACATTCTGACATTAACCTGGCTTGAGTAACTAACGTTTTGGATGTGCAAAATGCAATCCTGAACCATCGTGAAATGGCAAAAGGGCCTCAGCCTCACACACACAACCTCCTTGTAAGGTTAAAAACTGTCAGACATAATGTGCATCTGCTAGTTGTTTACCTGATGGTTGTGCATCTTGTATGGATTAACTAGGCGTATGTGCATCTGTGTCCTGTTGGAGTGGAGAACATCTGTTTTATTTATGTATTTACATTCTCTCTCTCTCTCTCTCTCTCTCTCTCTCTCTCTCTCACACACACACACACACGCACACACGCACACACACGCACATACAAGGCAGTGAACATACCTCATACTCCTTCCTCCTATTTTCCCCTCAACTACAACTCTGTGATGGATTAGGTTGAACCAGAGAGAATGAACCAGTCATTCACTTTGGTCCATCCATCCATCCATCCATCCAGGTTTCATGCCTAAAGTGGGACTAGAACTCTGTGGTTGTTTGAACTGGACACCCAGCGATGGCGCATACCAAACTCCTAAGGAGTTTGAAAGGTATTTTTCCCAACTAAAGAACTGTATAAAAATTGGGAAACAGCTTGTATTGTTTGGGGGAAATAAGCCCCATAAAATTCAGAAGTGTTTTTATTAGAAATAATTGTACATGTGATGTGAATGTTGATGTTTGGAAGAGTGTTTGTTCTTGGAGTGCTGGAAGTTTTTAAAGGCTCTTTCATCTTTTACTAGGGTAATAAAAGCTGAGCTGCCCAGGGTTATATTCATAAGACAGGCAGCCACACTCAGCAGCATTAATAGAATTGTTTTCACTGGGTAACTGTTGTTCCGGGTGCCATAAAACTGAAGGGGAGGGCATTTGAGGACAGACAAAATAATGCACTTCTAAATACATGTAACTGATTGGATTCTTTGCAGCCTTCAATTACTTTAAAGGAGGTTTAAAGAGGCATGCATAAGCGCACCAATCGTGCCTACCATCCCTGTCCTATTGTTTCTTTTTATTTTTCTTATAAGTATCTCATGTATTCAAAACTATGTTTATTCTTATACCTGTATCTTGTAAGCGATTGACAAATCAAATAAATACTAAAAAAAAATTAAATACTAAATAGGTTCTTAAAGGGAGGGTCAGAGGATAACCTTTCAGCACCCCCCACTAAACTAATTCCTAAATACAGGTATTCCTCAATTTACGACCACTTTTGGAACTGGTACTTCCAGTGCTAAGCGTGGCAATGGCTAAGTTAGTCATGCACAATTTTATGGCAGTTTTTGCCATCTTCATTCAAAGAATCCATATGGTTAAGAAAATCATGTGGTCTTTCAGCAAATCTAGCCTCCCTTGATGACTTGCTTGTCAGAAACCAGCTGGGAAAGTCATAAATGGGAATCACGTGTCCCCAGGATGTCACAACCATTGTAAATGCATGCCGGTTGTTGCCAAGTGCCTGGATTTTGATCATGTGACTGCAAGGAAGCTGCAACAGCCATAAGTGCCAGGACCAGTTGCATGTCACTTTTTTCAATGCCGCTTTAACTTTGAATAGTTGCTAAGCAAATGATTGTAAGTCGAGGATTACCTTTAGATACAGACAGATGCAGATAGTTTCGACTGTATAGAAATAAATCTTTTTTATATTGTTTTGTTTTCCTTAAGTCTACTTATTGTGCCTGCAGATTCCAGGTTTTGAGGCTTGCCATTTTGCAGTTAGTGCGAATACCCTGGGGGAAAGAAACATATTTGGGAAATCAACATCCTGACTTGCAGAACATTATTATACTTGTAGGCATTTTAATGGCATTGCTCAGCCAAACGGATAACTGGTTGTACCTCACTGCATTTCAAACAGCCTTGGGCTAGTGCCACTAAAATAATGTCCTGGCCTTAAATGCTTAGTGATGTCACCGTTTTTTTAGCTCATGAGCTTTCATGTCTTCTGAGTTTTAGCTTGGGATCCATTCCCGACCCATTTCTACTTTTGAATCAGCCCTGCAAGGCACTTAAGTGTCTTCCTGTCCATAATTGACAACAACAGCAGCTTTTCAGGCCGCATTAGCATCCTTTTAGGCTGGCAGATAGCAGATGGAAAATAAATGCTCTTCAGAGCTGTGGGAACTTTAATGGGATGGCAAACAGCAGAGAAGCCTGCAGAGGGAAGAGGAAACCACATTGCTCTGGGGAGATGGGGCGGGGGGTGTCTGCCTGCACTCCGTAACAGATGACAGAGTAAATTTTAAAGTCACCTCTTCCAACCTTACTTGAGATTGCTTGCTCATAGACCAGTGTTTTTCTAACCTTGGCAACTTTAAGACTTATGGGCTTCAACTCCCCGATTTCCAAAGGAGAATTCTGGGAATTGAAGTCCACATGTTTTAAAGGGACGTGTCTTAAACAGATGAGGAACATGTGCCCTTTTAGGTACTGTTGGACTCCAACACCCATTACCCTCCACTGAAGTCCAAAAAACAGTAGAGTTCCTTACTTCTAATCTTAACGACTTACTTGTGTTTCCCATACTCTCTTATATCTCCAAAACACTGCCTGAATTATGCAATTTTTTTGCCAACCTGGCAGTAATGAGCTGAGATAGAAGGAATGTGAGCTGTGGACTCAACCCATCAGGAGAATTTGCCTTAAGTGACTCATAGAAATTAATGGGAACTAGTGAGATAATGTAACTATATTTTTTTTTATAACAGCTGCTACATCTCAGCCATGAGATGGAATAGGTTTGGAGCCAAACATCTCCCCAAATGATTGCAAAACCTCTATATAGGAAGCTGCTATATAGCTTCCTAAATAGAGGTTTTGCAGTCATTTGGGGAGACCAATTATGGGGTGGTTAGTGGTTAGAGTAAGGGTAGTCCTCGACTTACAACCACCACTGAGGCCAATATTTATGTTAAGTAAAACATTTGTTAAATGAATCTTGTCCCATTTTATGACCTTTCTTGCCATGGTTGTTAAGTGAATTACTGCAGATGATAAGTTGATAATATGGTTGTCCCCATTGATTTTACTTCTCAAAAGGTTGCAGATCTTGGGTAACAGCAATGGTCATAAGTATGAACCAGTTGCCAAGCATCTGAATTTTGATCACATTGTCATGGGGAGGCTGCAAAGGTCGTAAGTGTGAAAAATGGTCACACTTTCTTCAGTACCACTATAACTTTGAACAGTCACTAAATGAACTGTTGTGAATTGAGGACTGCCTGTACAAGGTTTGCATATCGACAGTTGTAGGTTTGATTTCAGCCATACCAAAACAGGCTTTTTTGGTAATTTTTTCACTCTAGGTCTCCATTCCCTCAAAATAAATCTATCGGAAGGCATTGTAATGGAGATATCTGTAGGTAATCAATCCTCAACTTACAATCGTTCGTTTAGTGACCATCCAAAGTTATAACGGCACTGGGTAAAAAGTGCCTTATCTCGTTTAGACTAGTCCCCACACTTACGAACATCACAGCATCCCCACAGTCATGTGATCAAAACTTGGATGTTTGGCAGCTGGCGTGTTGCAGCATCCCAGGGTCAGGATCCATTTGTGACTTTCCTAGCCACCTTCTGACAGTCAGAATTCCAGAGGTGGTGTTCAGCAGGTTCTGAACAGTTCTGGAGAACTGGTAGCGGACTTTCTGAATAGTTCGGAGAACCGGCCAATACCCCCTCTGATTGGCCCCGCCCCCATCTATTCTCTACCTCCATAGTCCCAGCTGATTGGCTGGCTCTTCTTTTGTTCCCCTGTACAGGAGAACGGAGCTGGAAAGCAGGTTAGTGGGGTGGGGAGGGAACGAGGATTTTGCAGTAACCTGCCCCTGCCACGCCCACCAAGCCACACCCACAGAACCGGTAGTAAAAAAGTTTGAATCCCACCACTGCAGAATTTGCATAAGAGCCGCTGATTCATTTAACTGCTGGGATTTACTTAACAATGGTGGCAAAAAAGTTGTAAAGCTGAGTGCAACTCACTTAACAACACACTGCTTAGCATCAGAAATAATGGTCTCGGTTATGGTCATAAGACAAGGACTATTCGCCTTCTCTCTCTCTCTCTCTCTCTCTCTCTCTCTCTTTTCTGAGATCTTTTTTTTCTAAGTAGCAGCTGCAGAAAAAGAACAGCTAGACAAGTCCCAGAGATCTGTCTGATCATTGGTTCAAGGGCTGTGACGATAGGCCAAGGGCTTTATGAAATTATATTGAAGCCACCATACTGCAGAAAAAACAGTGAGCCATGAGTTGCAACTTGTTATAATGCATATTCCTCCTCTCTAGTATGATAACCAGTTTATTCTTACTTTGTGTCAAAACAATTCACCCAGAACTAAAGTGACAGTGGGATTAAAAAAAAAGGGAGAATGCGTTGTATCATATCACACAGAATGATAATAGATGTTTGTATAATTTCAGCAGTCTATTTGCAGTTAATTGCAGAGATGAAAAAAAAATCAAATTGTCTCTATTCATTTGTAAAACAAATAACTTTTAGGATGGAAAATCTTCTCAAAACAGATTTTGAAAGAAAACGTGAGAGTCCCCACTATCCTGTCAGAACTGAAGAAGCTTCTTGGATGAGAAGTGAAATGTCTTCAAAAGAAAAAATAAGAAAGTCCACTTGCTTCCTGAAAAAAAGCACATTTGGGAACATGTGATATGTTCTCTCTCTCTCTTCCCTCCTTCCCTCCCTCCCTCTCTCTCCCTCCGCCCCGAATATATATCTGTGCATCTATAAAATATGTATATTAAACCCAGACACTGTATACACACACTTGTATACACACATATATTTATTTTATGGGTGTTTGCATGCCAAAAATGATGCTGCCAAAACCCAGTGTTTTATTGCCGAATTTTGGCAGTCTGATGTTGCATAGTACACAGAAATGCAGAAATGGTTGAGGATGGAATCTTTGTGACTCGTGGACTGTAAATTGTCTACTAGTACAACTTTATCGAAGGGACAATGCAGGTAGTCCTCAACTTATGACCACAATTGAGCCCAAAATTTATGTTAAGTGAAAAATGTGTTAAGTGGATTTGTCCCATGTTGTGACTTTTCTTGCCACATTTGTTAAGTGAATCATTTCAATTGTTAAATTAGTAACATGCTTGTTAAAAATTAATCTGGCTTGCCCGTTGACTCTGCTTGTCAAGAAGGTCGCAAAATTACTCCTGAACACTGCAACCATCATAAATATGAGTCAGCTGTCAAGCATCTGAATGTAAATCACAGGACCATGGGAATGCTGCAATGTTGATAAATGTGAAAAATGGTCATAAGTCACTTTTTTCAGTGCTGTTGTAACTTGGAATGGTCACTAAATGAACTGTTGTAAGTCCAGGATTACCTACATTGGGATGAATTAACTGAATTTTGTTAAATTTTTGCAGTTAATTTTTTAAATTGTTTACTGCTCTTCCATTCTTGCACCTGAGGCTTCAGTTGTATTCCATTGCTGGACAGGGATAATCACTTTTCAAGCAGGTTCTATTAAAATTAGACAGCTTCAGAGCTCTTGCTGCTACTGCACTTGCAGGAAGAGCATTGCTTGAATTTAGAAATACCTTCTGCCATATTTGAGAACCCTGTACATATAATTATTCTGACCATGTACTTGATTGATTATATAATCCCTGCTACTGGAGCATGATAAGTATCCCTGGTTCACTAACCATAATTGCAAATCTTTGAGCTATCTGAAAGACTCAAATTCCTTGTGAAAAGCAAACCTTTTGACAAAACAGTGGCTGGTGAAGTTAGTGTCTTGTTCGCTTTTCAGTTCGATTCTAAATGCAGTTATGACACAAAGTTCTCTTCAGTTAAGTGCATTGGTGAGGCAAATTTGATAACAACCCTATCTTTTTATGCCTACTATTCTACCAAATAGTAGGGAGGTAATTATCTTTTGATTTCATCCTGTAAAGTTGGCTTACCTTCTATAGCGCATCAGCCTATTTCTAATTTGCCTTTGCTGAGACTAAAACAGGTGCCATGCAATCACGAATCTCCACTTTGGAGAATATGTTCTGAAAAGTTAGTATCAGAAGGCTTTGCCTTAGAAGAGTGAAAATGAAAGAGGAAATTGGTTCTTTCTTCACTTCACCTTTTCCTAACATAATTCTCTCCTGTGATGTTAGTCTTGCTGGGTGAAGATTTTTGTTTTCTGCACCAGAAAGGAAAAGAATCCGTCTGTGAGGGAGATGAGCGGATTCTAAATTTGATAAATAAATAAAACAATAAAAGCAAGATGATGCATGCATTTTTCACAAGCATAGCTAATACCTGCCTCTAATTGGTGTTCCTTGGGTCTGTCAGACCAACAAACATAGTCTAACAAAACTGGAGGGTTCTTGGTATTGTAGAAGAAGGCTGGCTTACAAATAAGGATATTTAAAAATTAATTAAAAGAACAGTATCAAATTTAGCTGTGCTGCATCAATGCCATTTTCTTGACAGGATTATAGAAGTGGTTTGAAATTTCTTTCTCAGTCTAGCTTACAACTGCAGTTATGAAGAAGCATATAGGTAATTCTTGATTCATGACTGGTCCCTTAGTGGTGATTTGAAGTTCTGATGGACTTACCTGAGCACAGTTTTTATGACCCAGTTCTGAAGGTTTGACAGTGACTCACCTTGTTGTCATGTGACTGGACTTTGGTGCTCAGCAACCAGGCTGCTATTATTATGTCCCATCATGTGACCATGATTTATGATGGTTTTGCCAGAAACCAGCATTTACTTTTGGTTTTCATCAAAATCCATATCAAAACATGGATTTGCTTAATGACCACAGCATTTACTCCACCACCACCATAAAAAAGAAAATAAAATCATGAGCTTTTATGGGCAACCACACAGTGCCTGATACCTAACCAAGCTATAATAGCTACAATAGTCATGACTTATAACCATGATGGGCAGGCTCCATTATGGTCAGAGTTTGAGGACTACCTATACTTACTTTCAGCATATCTGACTCCTTCCATCAAAATTAAATCCTTTCCCTCATGGAGTTTCGTCAACATTACAATACCGAATTGGAAAAAAAACATTTTCCAGCTGTTCTGCATTATACCTGTTTTGATGAAATGATCTATCTGCTCATTTCATTTGTCTGAAGGAGGAGCTTCTTAAGCTTCTTACCTGCCCAGGTGCATATCATGTAACTAGCTTGGGTGATGAGACAGATGGTTAATTTGAATTTCTTTATTTCATGAATGTATGATTTAAAGAATCCCTTTCCTTCCACTTAGGAAACAGCCCTGAAATCTCTGGGAAATGAGGGACTTTTCCTCTTCTCTTCCCTGGATACTAACAATGATTTGTTCATCAGCCCTGAGGAATTCAAACCAATTGCAGAGAAACTGACTGGTAAGTGTTTTAAGAATTTGAGAGCAGAAATGATGAGTAAATATCGGTGCTGCACAAAAACATTCCTACCATTTTTTTCCTCATGGCTTAAATGTGTGGCTTGTACTTCTTTAGTTATGATGTGGCTAAGCAGTGTGTGAATATGTGGAAATGACTTGTTTGTAAAATGATCTATATTTTATATAACTTCCCTAATTTCCTGTATAGTACTTCCTTTAATTCACAAGAAGTGACTCCAGGATGGACTTTCTCCCACTGATTTTGTTTTGTTCAGTGTTATTGTCACTAGCAAGGAAAGATCCTACCCTTAAAAAAAATTAGATTTGTGAGAACATGGCGTCCATGAGGGGACTGTTGCAATAATGTACACAAAACTTTCCACACTGAACCAATATGTTTTTTGCTACCTCTTTTTTTTTTCTTTTCCTTTCATTTCTTGGCAAAGAGCCATATCAAAACGAGAAGATTTTGTTTTGTTCTGCCCTGATTACAAGCTTTGGAATGAAGAGTTCTCGGGTGTGTAGATGCTGCTTATCGGTTTTTAGGTGGTGTAAGCCGCCTAATGCAAAAGACTGATGGCCACTTGAAACCAGCTTTAACAGCTATACGATAACAACTCTCTTTTCTTCTGCAACAGCCCTACCATAAAGTAGCTGCTGCAGTTGGATTAAATATCAGGAGTTGTGTGGTGGCCCATAAAAAGTTCGTGATTTTTTTCAAGGATTGACGATTTTGACTTGAATTTCGGATGTATGAATTGCCTGCCCTTTGAGGGGAAGGTGTCCCTTGTAAATCCATCATGCATAGATGCCAGTCCTACAATATATGTATGTACATTGTGTGTGTGTGTGTGTGTGTCAGAGAGAGAGAGAGAGAGATGTGCCCACAGCTTTTGCCTCAGCTCAGTTTGATTTTCGAAGGGCAAGGGCGATGCGTTCTCTGGTTTTCTTGAAAGGCTTGTGTGTCAGATGCTGTTCTCATCAAGGACAATTTTTTTTTGTAAAGTTGCTGTTCCCATTGTTGTACGAGCTGGTTTTGGCTACAGCTTAAAAGGGATCCAGCACAGCTGAAGGCAAGAGGGCTCTGCTGTCAGGTGACCGAAGAGCTGACCACGGGGAGGTGTCAATGGGCTACTTTGAACTCAGAAATCTCCTTGCATGCAGCATCCTAATGTCAAGATTTCTATCTACTGGTTACTTAGGGTTGTCTTGATGATATATTTGCTTGGGAAATGGATCCGGTTGCCTTTTCCAGGGAGTCCTCAACTTAGGTCCCTAATTGAGACCAGAATTTCAGTTGCTAAACAAAGCAGTTGTTAAGTGAGTTGAATTTAATTTTATGACCTATTTGCCACAATTAAGTGAATCATTGCAATCGTTAAGTGAATCATGTAATTGTTAAGGCTTCCCATCGATTTTTTCTTGCGGGGTGGGGTGGGGTGAACCAGCAGGTGAGGTCACAAATTGATCACATGACCCTGGGAAGCTAAACCCATCATAAATGAATGCCATTTGCCAAGTGCTTAAATTTTGATCACGTGGCCATGGGGAAGCTGTGATGGTTGTAAGTGTGAGTCACTTGTTCAGTGCAGTTGTAACTTCAAACTGTCGCTACATGAATGGTTGTAAGTCGAGGAGTACCGGTACAGGAAGGAAAGATTAATTTGGCCAATGCTTGTCCTTTGCATATCTATAAGGAGATCAAACTACCCGGGAAGCTAAAAAGGTTCTGTCAACTTTTCTGCTATTTTCTTCATAGAAATTTTTCTATCGCCAGGACAAAAGAGACTTGAAGACCGGAGTTGAATTCAGCCCTTTATTAGTAACCAGTAACTTCAACTAAAGTCGAGCCGCGGCAGCCCTTTTTATAGCGGCTGCTTGTGGCTCGCAACCAATGGCATTTATTTAAACTTCCCGCCGCTTAGGCGGCCAATCCGAAACTGTCGTTATTAACCAATCGTTATATTGCATTAACTAACCAATAGGAATGTAGTCTTGGAAGTCTCTATTTGAATACACTACAGAAATCTAGTACTGTTGAACTACGCCAAGGAGAAACGCCTCGGTGACAATACCCTAGAATAGTGGTCACCAGCTTCTTTTAGAGTCAAAATCTTACCAGTTCTCCCTGGTCATGGAATAGCCGCCTCCTCATTTTGGCTGGATTCACACACAATGCACAGTGGTGACTTGTTTTAGTAATAACTTGCTGAACAAAGTATAGTGGCTTGTTTCACATATGTTGTATGCTATACCTCAGGTGTGCCCTACCTGAGACCTTCTCCTTCCTCCAAATGTTTGGGTGTGGCCTCGAGAAGTTTCTATAGAGATTCCCCAAAAGTGCTGATTTACTGGTATTTCATTAATTGATTTCATTTTAATTTTACATTCAGACAATTTAATTGTGGGGCTAATTTTTGTGCCTGCATAACCTTCTTTGCATGTTTTGGGGAGGAAGGGTTGCCAGTGAACCACTCCAGGACCATGTACAGGTCTCTGTCCAAAAAAGCTTGTGCAGCCCTGCAGTAAACCTGATTCCTTCCACCACAACTGTGGCATTAAGCCAAACCCAGACAAATTTCCTTATGGTTTCTGAATCTGGTCTGTATTGTATTTCTTCCCAACCCAAAGTATTTGGCAGCAGGCTGTATCCCCTCTCATCCCCAAATTATTACCATCTTCCAGTTTGATGCATAGTAAAGTGGAAGGAACTCACTTCGCAGGAATCTCAGAAGAGGCAGGAGGAAATCCACAGGCCTTTTGCTTAAGCCTATTTATGGGAACAATAATAAATTTGCAATCCCACTTAAGCCCCCATGTCAATTATTGATGGTCTGTTACTGCCACCTGGTGCATGAAGGTAGAATTGTTGAGCTCTGGCTCTCTGGCTCACACTGAGCACATGTGACAGACGTGACAGGGTCTGGAGACACCGTGGAGAACGTTCTGCTGTCTGCAACATCCTCCAGCATGACCGGTTTGGCAGTGGGTCAGTAATGGTGTGGGGTGGCATTTCTTTAGGGGGCTGCACAGCCCTTCATGTGCTCGCCAGAGGTAGCCTGACTGCCATTAGGTACTGAGATGAGATCCTCAGACCCCTTGTGAGACCATATGCTGGTGTGGTTGGCCCTGGGTTCCTCCTAATGCACAACAATGCTAGACCTCATGTGGCTGGAGTGTGTCAGCAGTTCCTGCAAGACGAAGGCATTGATGCTATGGACTGGCCCGCCCGTTCCCCAGACCTGAATCCAATTGAGCACATCTGGGACATCATGTCTCGCTCCATCCCCCAATGCCACATTGCACCACAGACTGTCCAGGAGTTGGGGGATGCTTAGTCCAGGTGTGGGAGGAAATCCCTCAGGAGACCATCCACCACCTCATCAGGAGCTTGCCCAGGCATTGTAGGGAGGTCATACAGGCACGTGGAGGTCACACACATTTTGACTTGTTTTAAGGACATTACATCAAAGTTGGATCAGCCTGTAGTGTTTTTTTTCCACTTTAATTTTGAGTGTAACTCCAAATCCAGACCTCCATGGGTTGCTAAATTTGATTTCCATTGATAATTTTTGTGTGATTTTGTTGTCAGCACATTGAACTATATAATGAACAAAGTATTTAATAAGAATATTTCATTCATTCAGATCTAGGATGTCTTATTTTTCTGTTCCCTTTATTTTTTTGAGCAGTGTATTTTTCATGCATCCCCTCAGATGCTATCTAAATGATTTTTATATAAATTTCTGCCACTCTAATTTGGACAATAACTGCTATTGTGGATTCTCTGTCACAGTGTCTATCAATCAGTTACACTGTAGTGTAGCAGTGAGCTCTATTGTACATGAAACATTTATTTCACTAAAGAAGATAACAGCTCAGTAGGAGAGAATGAATGAGAATAAATCTCAAATCCCAAATCTTTTAGGACTGCAGTATTTTTGGATTACGTTTTAGGGATGAAATTGCTGAAAACCTATATGACATGATGATGGCAAAACGTCAGGTATGGTAAAATTATGGTATGATTTTGTTTGGTGGCATTCAATTCCTAAAAAGGAATTATTTTTCTAAATGTTACTTAACTATTTAGATCAGCCTGTAAAAAACACCACTGGGTTTGTAAAGGATATATCTTATAGTGAAACATAACATCAATGTTATCTTGTTTCCTACTGAGACATTTTTTCCTCTCTGCATCGCCTGTTTCATGCCAGCTTTTTCTGATAGAAATTCTTGTGTCCTCAATTCCATTTTTATTTTATTTTTTGCATATTAAAATGAGTTTTTGCCCCATTCAGGCATAGTTCCTGTGTCTGGCACGGAGGAGGAAGAGGTGATGGATCCGAATGGGGAGACACTCTCTATCCTTGCAAAATTCCAGCCACTGTTGATGGAAACCATGACAAAGAGCAAAGATGGCTTCCTTGGCGTGAGTAGCACATGTCTGAAAATATTGCAGCTACAGACATACGTGGGGGAGACAGTTTGTCAGAGCATTTGCAGCGTGACTACTATTATGAGACAACCAGGAACAAAACACAGCACACAGAGACTTAACAGTGGTTTATATACAAGATATATACAGTAATATATGTGGTAGGCAAATACCTGACAAGCAATCAGTCTTCTTAACTCTACACTGAGAACTCTGCAATGGATTCCAGAAACAAGGACAGAGAATATGCCCTCTAATGGCTACTTTATATAAATATCTCTTAAAGGGGTAAAACTCCTGTGGACCCCACTCCTAGTCTTAAAGAGGCAATACCAATGCTGATTCATCTTCGTTGCATCAGCCTTACATTGCATCAGCTTTACAACTGGTCAGTTCGTAAATCTCAATACCTTAACATAGTTTCAGTCAGCAATTCTGTGAATCCAGTCCTTCAAACTATTGGTCTTTATTCTGGTCATAGATCAACATAAAGGGGTCCAGGGTAGTTATCAAAAAAGCACAAACAACTAAAAGATATATAACAGGTATAAAAAGATGAAAAACTTAAAACATGCAGATCATATAAAATATGAGTAAATTTAAAACTAAGAATGTATAAGCAACATAGAGATAACCCACGATTTGTGGCCGTTCATTTAATGACTGTTCAGTGTTACGAGGGTGCTGAAAAAAGTAACTTACAACCAGTTCTTGCATTTAAAAAAATCATAGGATCAGAATTTGAATTCTGATGATTCAAATTCTGTGAATCACAGAATCACATTCCCTTGAATCACAGGATCAGAATTTGGGCACTGGAGCGACTGGCATGCATTTATTGCAGTGTCCCAGAGTCATGTGATTGCCACTTGCAACTTTCCCGGCTGGCTTCTAGCAAGCAAAGTTGTTTAACTTAACAACTGCAATGATTTGTTTAACAACCATGGAAAAAAGGATCCTAAAATCAGGCAAAACTCACTCAACAACCACCTTGGTTAGCAATGGAAATTCTGGTCCCAATTGTGTTTGTAAGTTGAGGAGGACTTGGCAATCTCTTAAAACTAGGTTTGCTTATTAATAGGCCTTCTTTTTTCTTTAGATTTCCCATGTGGCCTTTACTGGGCTCCGCAATTGGACAGCTCCTGCTTCACCCCTCAGTGTGATGTTTGCTAGACAATTCAAGGCCTTTCTTCCCCCAAAGAATAAGTTGGAACTTGGTGATCCATGGTGGATCATTCCCAGTGAATTAAACATATTTACCGGATATCTTCCCAATAATCGTTTCTCCCCTCCAGCTCCCAAGGGCAAGGAGGTAAGCACTGTGCTTCCTAATGAGGAAGAAAAAATAATGTTTGCAATTGTTGAGTGGAACTATCTTGAATTTGATTCAGTGGTCAGGTTGTTGGTTCTTATTAAAAGGGTAATTCTACACCTTTAATTTTGTTTATTGGGAGGTGGAGTTAAATGCCTTTGATTTCTGAACTCTATGTATAGAACAATGTTGAAATTTCTCAGTCTTAGAAACTTCAATTCGTTTGGATTTCAGCTCTCTAGAATTCTGCAACTAGCATGCTGGGGAATAGAAAATAGAGGGGGAAAAGCCTTCTGGCTGGGGAATTCAGGGGTTTTGAAGTCCACAGGTCTTAAAATCACAGAGATTGAAAAACACTGGAGTATAAGATGATTCATTAAATCCAGTCCCTGCAAAACTGACTTGAGAAGAGGACTTTGGAAAGGGGGGGAAGGGGGAGAGAAAGCAATGATATTTTAGTGCAGTACTTTCTGAATCACAGAGAGAAATACTGCAGATCGATTGAGCACAAAGTAGAAATGCAGTGCAAATGGGCAGATCAATTTCCAGTCCTTGGCAGCTGCCCATTGGAATATTGGATAATGTGTATTAAAGACCAAAACAGCTGTGATTACTATAACAAATATTCAGTAATGACAAGAGCTATAAATTATTGAAAGGAGCAGAGAAACGGGAGGGAAAGCGAAGAAGTAAGATGCCTATTGTTGGGCTGTATTTCAGAAGGACATTTTTCTCTGGTGAGGAGAGGCAGATGGGGTATGTTTCCTGTCAGAGAGAGACAATGTGAGGGGAGATTTAATAGCTCTTTTCAAGAACCTGACAGGCAACTTAGACCAAGGATTTCAAGATAATTATTTCAGAATGCAGACAGTAGAGGTGCTTTCTAGTCCTGAGATTCTGTAATTCTTGGCTTATCGTTTCAGGGTCTATCATTCCTTTTCAGGTCATACCTCCTTATATATTTTCCTTTAGGTCATCATTCACAAGCTCTTGAGTATGTTCCACCCACGGCCATTTGTGAAAACTCGTTTTGCTCCTCAGGGAGCAGTGGCCTGCATTCAAGCTGTAGCAGAGTTCTACTACAAAATAGCCTTCAGGTAAAGTAAAGGTAAAAGGTAAAGGTATCCCCTGGCTAGTCATGTCCAATTAGAGAGGATGTTGCTCATCTCCATTTCTTAACCGAGGGAGCCAGCATTCCAAAGACTTCTGTGGTCATGCAGCCAGTATGACCATACACCAAAGTGCACAGAACTTGGTTACCTTCCCACCAAAGTGGTACCTATTTATCTACTTGCATTTGCCTGCTTTCGAGGTGCTAGGTAAGCAGGAGCTGGGGCAAGGAACGGGAGTGCTGCACTCAGGTCTGGAACTTGTGCTGTCAGCTTTCCAGCTGATAAGCTGAGCTTCTTCAACGGCTTAGCCATCCATCCCACCCACACTTCAGATATAGTTCCCCCAAGAGAAGAAAGGTCACGTTCAGAGTGGGGCATGGGAGGAATAGTCCAAGTATGTATGGGTAGATCTGAGCTGGAAGCATGTTGGATGCAACCATGAAATGGGACCATTTCATCCTGTTGCTTAGAACTATCTGAAGGAAAGACACTGAGGGATGGACATTAGGTATGTGACTCTGTGGCCTTGAGTCATGAACTGGCCCCTTTCCAAAGTTATGGCAATCTGAATTGTTGGCCATCTATGTTCTCTAGAATGCTTTTCCTGTCAAACTGAGAACTGACGATCTTGCTGGACTTTTAAAAAGCCTTAAATTGTTTTTCATTGTAGGTAGATACAAGTTTTTAAAGTTTGTGATCTGTTTGGTGTTTATGTTCTATTTAAATTGCTAAGGGGCTTAAGTATTGAAGGCTCTAAAATGTAATTATAAATAAAGATGGGTTAACTTTGAATTCAAAGTTAAATTTAGCTTTCTTTGTCCCCGAACAGATTGAATTGTTGGGATGTGATATTCCTCCCTCAGTGCCATTTAAAGACCATGTATTTAAAAGCCTTCTGTTGCTGGGTTGTCAGATTGAGAACAATCGTCCTTGCTCACTGGTTCCTCAACAGGAGAACAGTTGTTCCAAACTCCACAGTCCTGCACTAACTTTGCTTGTTGGAATCATGTGTTACTTATTGGTGCAGACAAGCAGTTCCCATGTGATGGGCAGGATGTGTTTCATGTGCCGGTGAAATTGATCACCTGAGGATTACCTTCTCAGCTGAGCATCTAGCCAGCCTGCTTTGCATGTAAATAGGCTCTGATTCATTCCTTGGCATCTCCAAAAGGCCTGTCAAAAATTCCAGCCAGTTCTCAGGAGAAGGCCAGTCATTGTACTGCTTAAAAAGTACTGAGCAACCATTTAGTTTCCCACTTCCATCATTCAGTCATTGAGATCAGGGGTCTCCAACCTTGGCAACTTTAAGACTTGTGGACTTCAACTCCCAGAATTCCTCAGCCAGCAAAGCATTGCCAAGGTTGAAGATCCCCGATTTAGATCTACTATACCTAAGCAAGAAGAGCTTGAAATGTATGTGTGTCATTTTTTGCAATTGTGGGTATGTGACTGGTTTTGTCACACATTCCTCAGGAAGTTCTGTGATCTTCTATAACTCCTGGATCTGAATGGATTTGCACTTATAAATCTTTTCCTACGGTAGATCAAGCTAAGTGACCGATGAGAAATTGACAGTGCAGTTTATTAACTCAGAATATGCCTAACAAGAGAGCTGATGTTTCATCAATGAGAATATAGAATTCTGCTTAATAGTTAATATGCTGTTAAAAACAGAAAGAAAACTCAGAGTTACAATTACGTGCTTTATATAGAACTGTTTTCATTCAATTTTGGGTCCCCACAGATCCTAGCAACTCCATTTAAAATAATTAAAATAATCAAACACAATCATTTTTAAATACTGCAGAGTACGAGCTTAAAAAAAAACACCTTCTGATAGCCAAAGACTTCTTTTATGTTTTGAAGGCAAGAAGCGCCATCAGTATTGTATGTATGAGAGGCAGAATATTCCACCCTGTCAATTATTCAGTATTAATGGCAGTGCTGGGAATTTACCATAGAGGTAAACTGGAAGCTTCTGCAGCTGTCTAAGCCAATATAGATAGATGTCTCAGTAAATGAATCATGTGAAGAAGTTCCACTGTTTAGCTACTTTATTCTTGCTCATTTACAATAACCCAAAATTCTTATGGCTTACTATGATGTGTGAATCCCGTCATCTTTATTTGGTGCGGAAGAGGGAGGATAAATTTTGTGAAAATGAAGTGCTTGGCTTCATTAGGACACAGTGGCTGATTGCTCTTTTTGATTTCAGAATCCATGCAGAATTCCAACTGAATGAGCCTCCAGATTTCCCATTCTGGTTTTCTCCTGCCCAATTCACGGGCTACATTGTCTTCTCAAAGGATTCTTCCCATGTTCGAGAGTTCAAGCTATTTGTCCCTAATAACAGGTAGGTTTTTCCAGTTTCCAGTATCAATGATCAAGAAACAGCATGAAGCTAGCGTCAAATTCAAAGCATGCACGCTCAGTACATCATTAACAATTTCACATGCTTCTGCCTGAAGACAGTTTACAATTAGCATTTCGGTATGATTCATTTTCGGATGGAGAAACTGGTCTGCTTTAACTTTAGTTCTTAGCAAGTTTAAAGCCAAAATGATTCTCATTTCCCAACTGAATCGGAAGGCTCTGTTTTCTGATCTTTGGATAGAGTTCACTACCTTGATCAACCTATAGTTTATGTCATCCTGGTTTCTTTAAAAAGATACAGTGACAATGTATATCATGTGCTAAGCCAAAATCGGATAAACTAAATTGTAGCTTGTGGCATGATTTCAGCTACTCAGTCAGGCAACTATTGGGTTTTAGAGCAGAGTTTCTCAGCCTTGACAATTTTAAGATGTATGGACTTCAACTCCCAGGATTCCCATGCTGGGCAGGGAATTCTGGGAAATAAGTCCACCCATCTTAAAGTTAAGAAACCCTGCTACAGAGCATGTGCTTTGACACTGACCTTTTGCCAGAAGAAGAAGAAACTTGGAGAAGGATAAGATTCTGGCATGTTCATATGGCCTTTCAAGCAAATTGCAATGATTTATTTAACAAGACTTTGTCTTGCTGTCAATGTACTCCATATACTTCTGAATGCTATTTTTGGTAATTACCCTCTTCCCTTTCTCATGGGTGCCCTGCTTGATATGAATGAAAATTTCTGGCATTGTTGAATACAGTTTTCCCATTTCTAATGATGGTGATTTTTCCCCCCATCAGGTCTCTCAATGTAGATATGGAATGGTTATATGGTGCCTCAGAGAGCAGCAACATGGAGGTGGATATAGGATACTTACCTCAGGTCTGTAGCCAGTGTGGACTAATTCTCTGTGTACATGCATAGTTTTTCTTGTTCTAACAACAAAAACATTCCGTCTTTTCCAATCTAGTCTCGACCATTTTTCCATAAAATGCTGGCTAAGAAATTGGAGAGTTCTTTTCCAGCTATTCCACAATGATTGCATTTACTGTTATGTTTAATGTAGCTATTGAAACAACAAACCTGCTCTGGGTTTGTGAAATAGATGACATCATAAGGCAATCAAATACCACTTTGGTATTCCCAAAAGATCTTATGTCCCTGTTGCTTCGCAGATGGAGCTGGAGTCTCTGGGACCATCTACCCCTTCAGTGATTCATGATGAAAATGGGAACGTGATTGACAGCAGAGAAGGAGAACCGATTCAATTTATTTTTGAAGACATTTCCTGGCAGAAAGAAATAAGCTGGGAAGAAGCATCTGGGAAACTGGAAGTGGTCATGTATCCATTTAAGAAAGTATGTAAAGAGCTTGACGTTCTCTCAAACATGATTAAATAATTATGTCCATGCTCTAAGGAATGAAAGTAATACAACTATGCAGGCGATAGACCAGTAGTGAAAGTGAATTAACCTACTAACAAAACAAGCAGCTCTTTTAGCCAAAACTCAGATATATTAAATAAATACACAGTACATTTTTTGATACATGCATTCGTTAGCATTCGTTAACAAGACATGAGCCAGACATGAAGGGTACACTCAGCTCATTTTGTTTTTCAGGTTTCCTACTTTCCCTTTACCCAGGCTTTTGAAAAGGCCAAGTCTGAGGGTAAACTTGTTCATTCCATACTCTTATGGGGAGCCTTAGATGATCAGTCATGCTGAGGTAAGGGCTGAATTTGACACTGGGGTGTTTTTTTTTTAAAGGAGTTTGTCAGGAAGTTTAAGGGTTTTTTTTTTCCTCCATTCTAAGATAAAAATGTTAGAGCAGGGGTCTCCAAACTTGGCAACTTTAAGACTTGTGGACTTCAACTCCCAGAATTCCTCAGGAGTTGAGGAATTCTGGGAGTTGAAGTCCACAAGTCTTAAAGTTTCCACGTTTGGGGACCCCTGTATTAGAGGAGGCTTACTGAGAATATTAGCAAATTAGCATGCGAGGTAAACATAATATATGCTTGTTGATTTAATACCCTGACTTTTTAACTCCATAGCTCATGAAACCCTAATTTTGCAAAGCCTCGATAAAGGTGCTTCATTTGTTAAGGATCTTGTGCTAAGTTGATTTTATATAAAAATCTCAATAAGATATATATGGCTACAGGCCAATATTTCTCAACCTTGGGAGCTTGAAGATGTGTGGACTTCAACTCCCAGAATTCTTAGAGTGAAATCCACACATCTCCAAGCTAACCAAGATTGAAAAATTCTGATCTAGACTTTAGTTTTATATGGAGCAAAAGGAAGCCATTCTCTGAAGAGCCTAAAAAGTAAATTGAGACCAGACAGGAAGGTAAAAGTTGCAAATGGAGATAGGAAAAGGAAATGCAAAATAGAAGGGCATACATTCAAGCCATTATAAAACAAATGGCATTTTGGTACAGTAGGGTGTTTAAACTCCATTTGCATATTATCTCTCATTGCTTCTAATGCTTCCTTTCTGCTTCTCTGGGAAGTCAGTGGAACATCAAGCTCTGTGCTAAGACTTTACTCCAAACTGCCCTACTAAGCCAATTCAGAGTAACTTGCATTAAGGAAAATTGAGTTCCATCTCCCTACCAGACATATCAAGAACTTTGCCTAGGAGCCCTTCTGACAGTGCCCACTCACTCCTATATTCATTACCCAACCCAATGTTTGCAGCAGGACCAACATCACAGATATCCCCGGAGGTGAAAGTGATAAACGAGATATGAATATTATCCCTTTACCTAAAGATTCAGAGATCTGCTCCTAAGTGGTCCTATGTTTCATCCAAATATTTCACTAGCTTCTTTTGTTGTTCCTTTTTGGGCAGGTTCGGGGCGAACTCTCCGGGAAACAGTTCTGGAAAGTTCGCCCATCCTTGCATTCCTGAACGAGAGTTTCATCAGTACCTGGTCGTTGGTGAAGGAGCTGGAAGATTTACAGGTAAGCTGCTCCTGAAATTCAAGAGGAAGACAAAGTGGAATAGGTAGCTTGAGAAGACAGGGAAAAGATCACATAGGGTGACCCTTCCTCCTTTAGTAGTAGTTTGATTAATTAGTCTTGCTATCTTATCAATCTTGGCTCTATTAGATCGTGTTCTGTCGACTCTTCTACTCTTATGGTGGTCAGTTCTTCTTTGAATAGATCTGGGAAGCTTATAAGCAAGACAACGAAAGCAAAAGTACCATCCTTCTTTTGTTTCTCAATACATTGCCTCTGATTCTTAAAGTATTTCATAACCCTTATGTCTATCTGATAAGCTGACCCTCCACTGCAGCAAGGCCCGGAATGGGGTCCCTAAGCCCCAGGAGTATGTCCTCTGTTTAGTAAACTTGTAAGTGCCCTAATCTATTAAACTCCTGATGCCTATTAATATGAATATATATTAAATTAAAGCATCCTTACTGAATGAAAAGATGATCAAGATATAAATTTGTGAATAGCAATTAAATTACTGATTAAAAGTGAAAGATAAATAACTAATCATAATCCAGAATCAAACATGCATGGTTCCATCTCGGTTCATCAAGTGGCCTCCAGAAGGTCTCAGTTTTTCCCTGAGATTAGGGATAAGGGACAACTATGATCTCTATGGGAAAGCTCTTCACCAAAATGGCTGCTAATATTGAGAAGTGACTCTGAGCCTCAGCCCTGCCTCCCCCCCTTACTTTACAGAAGTGGAGCACTACCAATGGCTTCTCTCAAGACAAGTTGGCTGGGCCTATAAGTTCCAAGTCGTAGAGGGCTTTATATGTGCACTTTGAGTTGCATTCAGACTTGTCAGAAATCAATGAACGTTTTTATCTTTCAAAAGCAAATCCTTCTGTCCTTCTGCTCTTACTCATTCTTTACTCAACACCTCACAACAAAGCTTATGAAACAATGGTCATGCAAATGTTGGTGAATCACAGCTTCCAGCTTCTCAAGCCACAGAATATAGAGTTGAACAACATCTGGAAGACAATCCAATACACCAGAATAAAACAAGAAACAAACTATTAGGAAATACTATATCGTACTAAATATATATAAATACTAAATACTATAATCTTTTATGGTTTTTAGATCTTGATGGAAGCATAGACTTTGATCTCATTTTAAACAAGATTTGTTTCTATTTGAACAGCAACGAACAGCATCTTACACAAGAAATGTTAAATGCAAATGTCTTTTTCACAGGATAAACAGGACGAGATCACCAGCAAACTGGCAGACCTACATCTTGAAAAATATAACTTCCCTGTGGAGATTATGATCTGCCTGCCCAATGGCACCGTGGTAAGATTCTTACTCTCTTGGATCTTTTCAACCCCCTCTTGTCTATCATGTATTTTTCTAAACCATGGAATCTTTTGGAATCACTTTGACTTACCTACAATAAGAACTGAACATCTCATGGACAATTCTGTATCACAGAACTAAAATCAAATTATATGGAGCAATGTGGTATCCTTGCAGCACCTATAAAAGAACAGAAAAGTATTTTCTAATGACTATGGAGATTCTCACTCCTTCAGGTCATGGTTGTCTCAAAGGTGCCTTTTCAAGAGGCAACTGGACTTTCTGGTTTTTTCGTTGAAGATGTTTCTCATCACTAGAGCTGAAGAAGCTTCTTGGATGAGAAGCGAATTGTCTTCCAAAAAAAAACAAAACCAAAAAACCCCAGTACAGTTTCCTCTTGAAAAAGCACCTTTGGGGACTATTTTCTACTGATTGTTCTTTTTGTCCCAAAGACTCAGAAATCAGTATTTGCCAAGCATCTGTAGGATGGTAAAAGTTACTTGCTTGAAAATAGCTACATCTTGGGCAGAGACGTGGCACACACCTACTCAGAACCATTAAAGCACTGGAATGGATTAAAGTGAAGAAATTACCTGAAATACTCCCAAAACTTCAACTTGAAGCAGGGAGGATTTATCACAAATATTCACAGAAACCTTAAAAATTAAATATGAATTACTATTTACTATTATGACTCTAGGTATTAATAGCTACAACAAAAGATGCATGGGAGTTTGCAGTGTATGCATGTATAGTGTCTGTCTGTCTGTCTATCTATCTATCTATCTATCTATCTATCTATCTATCTATCTATCT